GCTGATTTCCGTTTTCTCTGTTCCCTCACCCCCTATCGATTTCCTAGCATCTTGATTTCTTTCGATGGCGTAAGGTTTAGAAAGTCTGTAATTCCTTGTTAGAGCTCCCCTGTTTGTACTGATCTTGAGAATGCTGAAGTAGAATTGTATGTTGATGAACTTTCATGGTGGTTTGTTTGTTAGTTAATTTCTTCGTCGATGATCAAATTCTTGAAGATCTTCCGTCCTTGTGAAGTTCTGCAGAAAGTAGAAACCCTGGCTATCTGCAAACTAGACCTCCCCTGTTTGTATGGATCTTGAGAATTCTTTAGTAGAATTGATTGTTCATGCAATTTCATGGCAGTTTGTTAATTTCTTCGTCGATGATCAAATTCCCTCGCGAATTTGTGCAGAAAACTAGAAACCCTAACTATTTGCTAATTGATATTTTATCAGAGGATTCCGATTAGTTATCCTCCTAATTAATATTTAATTAAGAGTTCCGATTCCAAGAATAGTTGTACTCCTCTCCAAAGTCCAAACCCTAAATCACCGTTACTTATCAATTATAAGAGACCAAGAGTCGGTCGCTTCAGCTAAACATCAGATAGGGAAGCAACGAGCTCAGTTCGTCTCGGAAACAATGTCCACGGCGGTGATATACAAAATCCACGGCCGAAAAGTGGTGCCGGAAATCAGATTCGCCTCGCCGATGTCCTCCACCGTGCTCGACCTCAAACAGGCCATCGAATCCCGAGTAGGCGTCGCCGTCGGCAGGCAGAGGCTCTTCCCCAAAGGCGGCGGCGGAGGGGGAGAGCTCCTCAACGACCGTACGCTGGGATCGTACAAGTTGCGGAGAGATGCGGCGGAGGACGGGAAGGAGGAGGCACCGGCGGTTGTGGATCTGGACCTGACGGTGGAGCCGTTGCGGAAGAAGAAGAAGAAGTCGGGAGACCAGGAGAAGATCCCGTTCGTGGTGAAGTGCGGCGGCAAGGAGGCGACGGTGATCCTCCGGGAGAGCGACACCGCTGAGAAGTTGTTCTGGGAGGTGGCCGCTAAACTCGAGCTGTGCAGTTGGAACCTCAAGCTGCGGTGCTGCGGGAAGGATCTGGCTCGCGACGGTACCAGGCTGTATGAGTACTACCTGTCGGAGGGGACGGTGGTTGAGGTTGCGGCGGGGGAAGGTTTTCACCGGAACCGTGACCTTCCTCCTGGATGCAGAACTTTCCCTCCTTCCTTCTACAGCTCGTAGGCCTCGGCCTTCGTCGTGATCATGTGTGTGTCTCCGATTTGGTCGGTTTCTTGAACCTTGTGTATTTTCCTCTTTTCATATCATCAATTCTCGTTGAGTTGGTTACGAGTCAACCGGTTGGTTGAGTCAACTTTGATTCAATTGATTTGACTCGGATTCTGAAATAATATGCTCCAGCTGTTTCTTCCGTCCAGTCTTTCATCTGGTTAAAACTCGTTGGGGCTAAGAAAGGGGAACTTTGTCAAACCCGAGCTGGCCGAGGGGCGAGGACGGAGGACCTGTCCACGGTCCACCTGTTTTCAACTGCCCGGTCAACCCGAATTTTTAAACCATATCTGAAAGTGGTGGGCCTAATGTCAAATGTAGCTCGAACACTGTAGTTATTTCAAATTGGGCTGAATATCTTGGCCCAATCTCAAGCGTATATCCAACTAGCCCAAGAGCAAGGGCCGCTGGTTGGTACGGTAAGTGTGGACGTTGAAACGACGACGTAGAGAAAGCAGGTGGGGGAGTGGGGAAAAAAGAAAGGGGCATTCCGAGAATTGAACTCGGGACCTCTCGCACCCTAAGCGAGAATCATACCACTAGACCAAATGCCCTACTGTGGCTTCTTTCTCAACAACCGGGTTATTTATTAAATTTCCTATGTGTTACTCTTTGCATGATTCACCTAATCTCGTTAATGAGTAGTTACAACATTCAAAGAACATGTTAACATTAACAACTATTGGTTTAACATCTTTTCCGTCAGTTGCACCAAATTCCCCACAATCTGAAATAATGGGGATGTTGGGTCATCTCATAATGCAAGCCCATTTTTCATTTGGTTATCTCACAGCCCATTTCCATCTCATTGCCCTTTCGAATTTGTTTTTTAATGATCAGAATTGTTGTTTGGAATTTAATTATAGTGTTCCATGGAAGTTTAATTGCCTTATCTACACAATAAATAAAAGTCAAATGAGAAAACTTGAAGTCCCATTTCAAATTTTCTGCATCCAGAGTGAAAGTAGGAAGGACATTTTGGTCTTCACAATTACTTTTTTTTATTCATTAAAAAGACACTTACTAGGATTCGAACCATGACCACTTTAAAGAAAAGCAAAGATCATAACCAATCACACTAAGTACATTTGTTGTATCTTTTTAAACAAAAAACATATAATCGCAGAGAGGAAACAACCCTTCCCCCATTTCAAATTCTCTGCTCCAGGAGCGCTTGTAGGAAGGGTAGAATAGAGAGTGTCAATTTTTTTCTTTTTCCTCTGTGGAACGGGCCAACTTACCGTACACATGCAGATTTAAACGGGTCCAGGAGTGTCAATTTTTTTCTTTAAGTCCTTTTATTTCTCCGTGGTGGTAAAATATATATGAAAAGGCAAAAACAATACTCCTTTTTATTGCTAAAAAGAAAAAAATTAACAATAAACTAATGCATGGATTCTAATGGGCTAACCGCTAATCATAAAATAAAAGAGTTGAATGAGCCTGACCTACACGGGATTTGCCCATCAAGTAAACCAATGAACATCATGAGTTTGTCATTCTAAAACAAGATATTTTCTCTAGCATAATATATATTATGCTATTATTTTATATCTTAGTGGCTAAAATATAATGTATTTTAAAGTTATTCAATGATTCAACCTCGACTAACCCAACTAGTCCAATTTTTATCATTTCAAATATATATTATGTAATTATTTGATATCATAATGATTAAATTATAGTGTATATTATAGGGAATCGTTTGGTATTTGTTAGTAAAAAACTAAACAGAAAGATCTATTTGGTTATTTTTAACATTAAAACGATCCTACACATTTTCAGTTTTCTTTCGAAATTCTATAGTTTTATTCCCCGAATCAGTGATGTGCAAATGGCGAATTGCAGTCATCTCTTTTCTTTGATTATTTTTTATTTTCAAATAGAAAGTTTAAAAGTAAAGAATACTTAGAGTTTGGCATGGGTCGGTCAAACAGGCTGAATTTCAAGTTTTGGCCCGTTATGAAGTAAATTAATCGGCCAACGGGACGAGTAAAAGCTAGCAACGATTGTGTGATGCTCATTTCCCGAAAATCGGCGGGATAGGTGATTTTTTATTCGATTTTCTGGTTCATAAGGCTAATTTTTGATTCCTTACATAATTCATGTCGCTTTCCTACTAAAATTCACTATTTTATCACGTATTTCCCAAAAAAAATATACAACAATAAATTATACATCTCATTACATTATCAAATTTCATACCTTACCTTTCTCCGGCCAAATGGCCGGGGCCCACGCTAGTATTATATATGCACCGATGTGTAGTAAGGCATCTAAGCCCTTTTATGTCCATGAAATCGTACCGGAAAAGTCAGCGATATAATATTTTAGGATAAAACTGTGGTTTAACCGTAGTTTAACCGTTAGACAGTTAAATATCGCCTACCAGTTTAGCCTCCGATACTGGTATTTCGTGGTTGAACCGCTGGTACGGTACGATTTCATGGACCATGTTTTTTTGTTAAAACTTGAAAGGTTTGTTAACATGATCTATATGAGATCGAATCAACTATTTCGAGCTCATTTTCTCAGAGGCTCAACTGTAATTAACTGTTGCACACCCAGGATTAGTGCATTCGAAACCCTACTAATAAAAATGCTTGAGAAGGTCCCAAAGAAGTGAGCTTTGGAGCTCAATATTATTGCTGATTTTTTTTTCCTAACAGGTCATTCGGGAAGTGTTCGATTTTTTTTTTTTTTTACAAAAGATAATCATATATATTGATTTGAATAATAGATCATTATATCGTGAAATTTAATCAGGTCGGAAAATAAAAAAATGACACGTAATCGGGTAGAATGAAAGGGCTTTTGTAGCCACCAAATGAGGTTCCCTATTACTACTCCGATCTAAAATTCACAATTAAACCCAGTGTGAATCACGGAAAGCGTTCAAATCAAGGTTGAAATGTAGGGAAACAAGATAAGAATCTAATCTCATATAGAAAGATGTTTTGAGAAACATAGCAAGGTTAACCGCAAAAATAAATGTTTGTTTACGACCACAAGTTCGACACGACCTTCTGGTATGTCACAAGCAACTATGGCTATCTCTGCCGGTATTCCCAAGGATACCATTTGAGACTTTACGATACTCGCACCTACAATGTTATGCTAGGTACTTCTCTGCAATCAAATATACATACATAATTTAGTGTCGGCACGCACACGACGAGGAGTACTGGAGGAAAAAAAAAGAATCATTTACATACTTGCGACTACCCCGAGGTTCGTTGCGAGAGACTGAATCACAAGAGCCGCAAATGACAATCGTGCTCTCTCTTGATAGCGTGTTAATCTCCGGTGGTTTGTGGTTCTCTAAAGAGTCAAACTTCCTCTAATGATTTTCAATGTAACAAATTTGCTTTTTGTAGTACTCCTTTCATCACGTGACAAGTCGGTCACCTTGTTGTTGCTGGTATCGACCATAAGTACTACTGATAAATTGGTCTGTTTGGAGCTGTCATCCTTATCGTCGTTTAAACTAGCTTTGACATCGTACTAGATAATCCATATCGATTAATTTCTCACTGATTGAAACATGAAACAATTCAAAAACATAAAACAAAGTCAGAAAATTTTCTCCATTCCAGTCACACAAATCAAAACATAGATGTATACATATCCATAAACATCTTCTTCTTTGTTTTCCCCACCATCACAACCCAAACCTTCAATTCCTTCACAACAAACAAGCCCTTAAATCCTCAAATCAATCAAATCAGTAGATCACATAAACAGCAAACTCGAGCAGAGTCTCGATCCCATCCGTCTCATGATTATTCCCTGCACCAACAACCGGAACCACCGTCTTCACCACCGCGTGCCCTCTCGCATTCACATACTTCCCCGTCCCGCCCATCACAGCGAGCTGCGACTCCGAAACCCCGGCCCTATGAACACCAAAGAAATTGAGACTGTCCTCGTAATGTCCGTCCTGAAACATAGCAGTGAACGCCATGGCCTGGCTCGTCCCGTCGATCGAGCTCGCCACGTAGTATCCCTGCGCTTTCCCCAGCAGCTGCGACCCCAATTCGTGGCCTTCGGTCAGCTCGTCGTCGATCACGTTGATGGTCCCGAACATCAGCTGCGCCAGGGCCGAGCCCGTGGGCAGCTGGCCGCCGTTGCCGAAGTTGTTGAAATTGTTGCCGTTGTTGTTGTTGTTGTTCTGCATCAGGGTTGCTGACGTGGTGCCAGCTAGGCCGGTGAGGAAGGGGAGATTGTTGTTGTTGTTGTTGTTGTTGTTGTTGTTCTGTGGGAGACCGTTGTTGACTGGGAGGACGGCGCCGTTTGGCTTGGCGAAGGGGACCTGGCCGTTGATTGCGGGGTTGTTGACCACTCCTGTGACGGCTCTGGTGGTTGGGTTTGACCCGCCTAGGATGTCGTGCATGAAGAAGGTCAACGTGTGGTCAGGGTCAACGGTGGTGGAGGTTGCTGCAGTGGCTGCTGGCAATGGAGATGATGAGGATTCGTCGTCGTCGACGAGGATTGGGGATGCTGAGGTGGTGGTGAGAGCTACCGTGAGCATGATGAACAGAAGATAGGGTGTGGCTTGAGTTGGAATCGAAAGGGTTCTGAGATTCTCCATGATGTAAAGAGAAGAGGTTTTGGTAAACTAGATGGTGGGAAATCAGAGGAACTCTGTTTTAGTTCTTGTTAAGATGATTGAATGAAGGGTGGGTTAGTTGATGAGTTTATATATAGCTAATGGATTGATTGCATTTTGTGTTGAGGAGTTAGTGAGATGGAGTGGTTTAAATTATTCTGAGTGTTTTTGGTTGGCTTGAAAGGAAAAGGAATGAGAGGAATGGGTGGGATTTTGCTTATTTGATCAGCATATTAGAGGTTTAGGTGACCTAAAGGCAGCTTGGATTTGAGGGTTATTTTAGCAGATCCTATGCTTCAGGAACCAAGTAGTTTCAGTTGCTGCTTTGCACAGTAGTAACCAATGTGCCAGTGTCACTGATTAAGAGCATTTAAATATCTGGACTGAATTTGAGGTCTTGTAGCCAAAATGGTATCCTTTACTGGTGAAAATCTCCTTGTGTTTGAAATCACTGAGCTGCAGAATCATCCAAGAAATCAACCAAACTATACAAACAGGAAACTGCAAATCTTTGCAAGCTCACACCAAAAAATGGTTGCATTCAACGTTGTCTCAAGCAGTAAGAAAACTGCAGCAGTTTTTACAAACATAGCTTCCCCAGAAAAATGACCATATTTTACATGAGAACTAACTGAATTACTCAAAAAGAATACATCCTCTTCAACATTTATAAAACTTACTACAAACACTATATATATCTCTAGCTGTCTCCACCCTCCTTGTGGTCTGTTGGAGGGAAAAAATTGCACAAGTGGACTTGGCAGGGAACAAACAACAATCAACCTACTCATTCTCTTCAATACTCTCATTCTCTTCAATACTCCTTGATTCAAAAACAATATACTACCTATACCACCTACCCTGTATATATACTACGTATGTGAAAATTTCTGCAAATTTGTCCAAAAATATCACCCCATGCTGCTAACAGCATCCTCCACCAACTCGTCAAACAAAGAATTTGCTATGTCTCCACTGATCTCCTGAACATGATCACCCAACTGGAACCACTTATCATCCTGCCCCATCACCTTCTCAGAATTCTTTCCCGTTCCATTTTCCTGGCTGGCGAGTAACAACCACACCTCCTCCTCAATATCCTCCTGGCCACCATAGTTGAGCATGAATCTTCTTGCTACAGGTTCCGACCACGAGACTGACTGCTGGCTCAAAGATGACTGCAGAATCTCCACCAGCCCCAAGTTTATACGATCAAATAGTAATCTTCTATCGGCCCTCTTCCAAGATACCTGTTCTCCGTACTTTTTATCTAGTGTTTCAAAGACCGAAGGACTAACGATTAAGTATTCATCAGAGTTCCATGAGTGGTTAGGACTGATCAAGTATGGGCTTCTGTTGATCAGCCCTGCCTCGGTTAACACATCGACCAAGTATGAGAAATCCCTGCTCTCTTCAGCTTTAAAAAGTGTCATTGCACCTTCATTTGCTTCAAAATCGCTTACTGACTCATCTTCCCGGGTATCTCCCTCGCTAGAGACCATTGTGTCAAAGTCTTCTGAGTTTCCATCTGATAACTCTGACTTCAGGATTTCGAGTCGATTATGCAAGCCTAGTTTCAAAGGAAAACAAAATAGAAAACTCTAATCAAACGACTAGGCCAGGAAACATTAAAACAGAGAAGGTGAATGAAGAAGACGAGCAGTTGCTAACCTTGCAAAGAAGCACCAGCACCGTCCCAACAATCGAAGCAAGAAGATATCTCTTTCCTGTATGAAGTCTCCAATACAGAATTTGGACTGGATTGATAGTAGGAATCTTCTGAGCTCACTAGTGATTCTGGGTCCGTACACGAGCAATAAGAAGAAATGTATTCTTTCCCGTACGTTACAGCTGATATATCCTGCCGAATCAGTATGGAATCATTAGTGAGCAACTGATAACAGAGAATTGAAAACTAAAATTGTATGATACAGAGGCAAGCAGTGGAAAAGCCCAGTTAATGAAACCAATTGTGATTATGTATAGAGATGCATCAAACCTTTTGAATTGAAACAAGTGCTAGGGAGGATTCGTTTACAGACTCGGTTTCTCCATTAACAACCATCTCATGTGACCTCTGGCTATGTGAATACTCTTCCAACTTGTTTTCAGCTACATTTGGAGGGATATAGCTAGGTTCTGGATTTTTGTTTGCCGCTTCTGAATCCTCAACAGGCGGAGACATCTCCTCATAGCTCTTTACTGAGATTATGATTTCTGAAGCATGTCTCCGGTCGAACTTTCTTCCCTTTTGTTGAACAGAATTTATAAACTCAACATTACTCACTCGGCGACTACTTTTAACAACAGAGTCATTGCTAGCACTAGTTGCATGACTGCGGATATCACTAAGATTCCAGTGAAGAGGTGTGGCTCTTCGTAAGCATCCAATGCTCCTGACCTTCCAGCCATACTGACTGTTTTTGCTTGAGCGAAGAGTAGCAGGATTGAAACATAACTTTGTTGGTTTAAAGTCATTTTCATCCATTCTACTTATATCCAGTTCAACTGGCTGGGTGGGAGACAATGGTGCTGACTCAGACTTCTTAAGCAAGGTGCCAGCATTCAGATATCTAGAACCTAATTCATAAAACCCAATCCCTGTGGTTGCATGCTTTGAAGAAGTAGACTTTGTTTTAGTATTCTCCACCTTATCTGTGTGTTGCTTAAGTAGAACAATTCTTCCAAAATCCCTGCACGAGCTGGAACTAGTGTACCTTTGGTCACAAGCATTCTGACCTTTCTTGCAGACATCAAGGTTTTCATGGCTAGAAGGCTTTAATGACACCTCTGAACTTAAATGAGCGTTCCTCTTCCCAGCTAAGCTCCCATTTTGTCTGTCTGTTCCCAAACTGTTGGTATCTCTTGACTCTTCTGAAACCAAACCAAATAAATGAAGCTTTTGATGTTTCTCTCGGCTACCTATAGCATTCACTCTCTGCATATACTTCTCAGAAAGCACTCTTGCTTTCTTTTGAACTGGTTGTCGAGGTTGAAATTCATCCAAACCCATCAATCTTGCAATAACACTGGGAACAGGTTGCCTGGGTTCCATTCTGGTTGACAAACTCTTGAACGAACTACCCGCTGCTTAGGAATATAAGTATGGACCTGGTCTAACCCAAGAGAATTTCCAGATAAGAAGAGGGAATCAATTTTTCAGTTCTGCAGACAAATCAATTTTTCAGTTCTGCAGACAAATGCATTATACAATGAATGCCAAACAATAGATTAACAGAAGGAAACATCAAGAGAAACTTTAGGTAAACCAGAAAGCAAAATGAAATAAATGCCTTTCTGCACTACAACATGTATTTCATTGTGTTCAAAAAGGCTCTAAGCTGTCTGGAAAACAGAAATGGAAACCAAGCCAACTCGAAATATCAAACAAGAGGATCGAAAGCCCCCAAGCCAAGGAAGGCAACTCCAAGTTAGAATATCAAGAAAAGGATCCATTTCTATGAAGCCAAAAAAGGGCTTCGACTTTTTAGAAACCAAATAAAAACAAAAACTCCATCAAACAGATACCAAATAAAGCAGAGCATCAGTGAGTGACAAAAAGCTTGCAGACAATCAATTGGCATGCAGAAACAGAATCATGATAGCTGGGGCATCTTTCTCAGAACCACACTAAGAATTACAAAAAGAAAAGTAATCATCTAAAGCAAACAGATCCCCACCTATATGATCGTCACTTATCAGCAAACCCTAATCATTAGAAACATAGGAATAATTCATGGTACCCACTAATACTATGCCACAATTTCCCCCTATACAATCACACGCCAAAATCTTTGCCAATGAAGAAACCAACTTCAATCAATTGAAAAAACAAAAACCCATAAACCAGAACATTTGAAGATGGGGAACCCAGCAATTTGCTTTAGCAAATAAAAAGTCGGAATTGCAGAACAGAGAGGGGGAAAGAACTGACCAAAAACAGACGGAATTCTCGAATACCCAGAACAAAATTCCTCAGTAGCAACGAACAGACAGGAAACTATGTTTGTGGCGGAAGGTTGAAGAAAGGTCAACTGCCAAATTACCATTAACAAACACTTGGAGAGGTCAAAACGTGGAAGAAACAGAGGAAAATAAAAACCCTCCCCCTTGCGACACCAGAAAAGGGCGGCTACATAATTAGCATATTCGTTGAGGAGAACAGTACCTTCTTTGGTTTCTTCTGGATCGGAGAAGTTCAAAACGATGATCGTCGGAGGGGAAAATTGGGGCCCGAGAATGGAGCAGCGGCTATTATTGAAAGGGGGAAAAGATTAAATGTAATGCGATAATAGAGAAATGGATGATCGATCCGAAGTGGGGAGAGAGAGAGAGAGGAAAACGAGGTATAATAAGAAAATACGCGAGAAGATATGTTAATCAATGTGAAACAATAATCAGTGCAGAGACGACTGAAGAGTGAGAGAGAGAGATGTAATTTCGAATTTGGATTTAATTAATTAAGTTAATTAAAGGGAAATGACGTGTGGGTTCGACGCTGTTAATGTCGTTTACGGGAATACGCGCCGTCTCAAGAGGTCGTGTTCGCGGGTTTGGCGCCAGATTTTCCCTCCATCACCTTGCTGACGCCTGACGGTTATACTTTTTGAACAGGGACCCGTCCGGCTAATTGCCATTTTCACACTCTATTTTTGTGTCCTTACAGTTTTTACCCTTCTTTCTTTTTTATTTTCAGGACATCAGTAATCCAAATTTTGGAGGCCGGTAGTAAGATCCTTTAAATGGCAAGCTCGTGAATGTCAATTTATGCTTGGCAACCGGCAAAGTCATTTGGATTTCGGATTTTCAGTCGGATATGTGGCTTCGATCTTACATGGGTCTACTTTATGGGCTAACATTCATCCAAACAAATGGCTTATGAATGACTTGTCGTTCGATTCGATAAAAATTTATTCGATTAAGAAAAAATTTGATTTGTTTATTAACGAGTTGAGGTTGGGCTTAGCCTTGTTCAGCTCGTGAGGTTCGTGAGCCAGCTCGACTAGGTGGATTGTAGAGCTCAACTCGTGAATTCCCTTGTTTTGAGCTGATAAGATGTCTCAACATTGTGATTAGTGAGCAAACTCGAGTACCGGCTTATAGGGGTGGGCAATGGGCGGGTTGGGTGGATTTTGGTCTAAAATTGACCCACCCGCTTACTAGCGGGTTGTAATATATGTGACCCGCAATCCACCCACATACTTATGCGGGTTGGGTTGGGTGAGTGGTGGATGGGTGCGGTTGGGTCGCGGGTTAACCCGCAAAAGCAATTCTCCAACTAACCATTAAGAAAATTGACTAACATTTATAATAAGTCCATAGCACATTAGTAAGATTGTATAAATAATTTGCAATTTCGATACAATTAATAATTTATAGTTTGTATCCCAATATTTAATGGATATTAACAATAATTTGCATACCAATATCCATTGCAAATGGATATTGCACAACACAATAACCAATAATAGTAGTCAAAAATATTCTTTATTCTCCACCTTTTGCAGTATATAGTCAGACTGTAGTGCATTTTGAAAATATGATGAATATTCGATACTATAAGAAACAACATTTTTCCATGTAAAAAATAGAATGCGGGTCATACGGGTGACCCGCAATCCACCCGCCATCCACCCACATAAGTGCGGGTGGGAGATTTAACAATCCGCAATCCACCCACATCAATCACCCATTGCATGCGGGTCTGGTTATTTGCGGATGGATCAATATCAATCCGTGGATTAACCACCCACGTGCCCACCCCTACCGGCTTATGAAAAAATCGATCTATATTATAACATATGAGTAGACTTGTTGATAATTCATAGGTTTATTAAACGGGTAAATTGCCAATTTCGTCACTGGGATTACTAAAATGTTCATGTTTGGTCACTACAAATATTTAATTCTAATCGTGGTCGCCAGATTTAGTAACACAGTTCAAGCTTGTCACTCTCCTTTAGTTTCCGTCCGTATTCATTAACATCGTCAGTTATTCGCTGATGTGGGCAAATATGTCTCCTATGATATGAGATCAGTTAATCACATGTATCATATATGAGTCAAGTAGGTTTCAATAAATGAGTCAACTCGACTCAGCTCGTTTTGTAAATGAACCAAACTTGAGCTCGACTCGTTTATCAACAAGGCAAATCTAAACAAGGCAAAACTTGACTCGATTTGGCTCATTAACATCCTCTGTACTTGTTAGTCATTAACCCAACTCAAACCAATTGTGTCGCGAAAAATTCGAAAAATTCGATTTTGTAAGTTGATTCAATAGCATAGTAAGATGATAGGATGGATATTCCAAGCATTCGCTCCTCAACAATCCACAGGCTCGGCCCATACTCATTCAAGCCCTAGGTTATGAGACACGATTAGTACCACTCTGAAGTCCAACCATACTGCTCTTCCATGGGCAGAGCAAAATCGAGGCAGTTTCAGAGATGAAGAATGGACATTGGACACACTATGCAAAAAAAGTTAATACAATATATTAGCCACAACTATTATGAAACGGGGAATTATAGCCACAATTATAAAAATTCAAATTATTAGCCATAACTATTGTTGCAGCCTTGCAGGTCAAGATATGGCTAACTGTCTGTTACTGTTATTGAATTTTTGACGGAGAAGGCCACGTCATCGGCCACGACAGTGGCCACGTAGGAATGCTTTTAGTTTATAACTTCAAAACATAAAAGTTTAGTCAGTTTTATTAACGAAATTGTTAACAGATAGTTAAAGTTTGGCTGCATAATAGTTGTGGCTAATATATTGTATTTACCCAAAAAAAAAAAGACAAGGTTGTCAAACCAGTTTAAGTAATTGAGTCGGTCGAGTAAGGGGTTTGAGGTTTAATGATCTGATTGGGGTCCGAACGGTTTGAGTTGTTTTAAACGTTTTCTAAATATATATACAAATAAGGTAGTAATTAAAGATTTAATGACTGAAATAAATTTTATCTTACATATATCTATTAAAAACTTATTTTCCACAAAATAAATCTACCTAACCTCCATGGCTCACCCACTATCCCCTTCCTTCGTGTCTCTTCCTCTCTTCCCCCTATCTTCTTCTCCCTTCGTAGGGGTCATACCGGGGACTTTCTGGAGGCTGTTTTGAAGCTCGACTTGGGTCAGACCGAGTCCAATCGGGAGTTCGATAGGGGTTTAACAACATTGAAAAACTGTCTCGGCCACTTGCTTTGCACAGTAACCCCATTCTGGATCAATATCTTGTCTTTGGAATTGAGATTCTAAGCAAAAGGCCGACTCGTTGTGTTTGTTAGAACTTAGAAGCTGCCTCACGCCCATACCCTCCGCCATTATTACCAGATACCACCCATTGAAGGCAATTGCAGAGAACAGAGAAGGGGATTTCCTTAGAATGGAGATTCTGACTTTTGCCTGCTGTAGAATGGAGATTTGCTTCCTCTGTCGAGAGCCTGGACAAGATTTCGTTTACCATCTAATTGTTAGTTTGAATGGGCTGGATTCTGGACACCCTTAATTTAATTAACATTACTCGTACATAATATAAACAAGCAGTTTTCAAAGCAGAAAGCACAGAGGATTTGTAAGAGTTGAACTAGGAATTGTTGGGGAGCTCCAATTAAGGAGCAACCCTCCAAAAATTGATGTATGCCTCTATGTGCAGCGCGTACACGGTATTCTTTAGTAAAAGGCGAAAGAATAGTTCGCTATGTACTCACTGCGAGGCTGCATGAATTGACAAGGTGAGTTAGAGTTGGATTATATAGCCTACAGTGGCAGGAAAGGTAGTGACCTGTTGTCCACAACGATGTGGTATTTAATAGGCTTTTTAAGCCCACCAATAAGGGGGTAAGCCATTGGTGGAAACCACGCTAACCAAGGATTGGCCTGCTGTAAAATGGAGGCCCAGCCAAGTCAAAGAGGCCTGCAGAATAATAGGAGTAGGCAAATTGGCCCGCCTTTCCTTCGTCAGATCTCTGTTTCTTCCAAACGAGAGGATCAAAATTCAGTCTGAATCCCAATGCTCTCAATTGTTCGATTGCAATACACTGCTATCCTGTTTTAATTTGCTGTGGTATATAATATTACTAGGGTGGCCCCGGTCAGTTGGTCGAAGGAAAGTGAGGTATGAAATTTTATAATACAATGGGGTCTATAGCTTATTGTTGTATAGTTTTTTTTGGGAAACACATGATAAAAATAATGAATTTTAGCAGGAAAGAGAGATGCAACGAATCAAAAATCGGTCTTATGAACCAAAATCAAGTACCTGTTATCTTGTGAAACAATATTGTTTCTAGTAATATGATGAGGTGGAGTAAGTTTTATAGAAACCGAATTCCAGAAAATTGAATAAAAAACCGTCTATCTCGTCAGTTTTCGGGAAATGAGCATCTCACAATCGTTGCTAGCTTTTACTCGGCCCGTTGGCCGATTAATTTGCTTTATAAAACTTTCATCTTGTCGTCATTGTGCTTTCTGGTTTTTGTCAGACCATGATAAAATCTAAGAAAACCAAGAACGAACAATACGATTTGGGATAGGAACCGCCGTTGTCGTATCCCTAGAAAATGGTGGTAAACACGTACTCACCTGCCAAACTGGTTTGGATTGAGATTTTTATCGAGTATCAGGGAACCATGTGATTATAAATTAGACTTGATCAAAACGTGCCAAAACTTGAAATTCAGCATGCTTGACCGACCCATGCCAAATTCTAATTATTCTTTACTTTTAAACTTTGTATTTGAAAATAAAAAATAGTGAAAGAAAAGAGACTGCAATTCGCCATTTGTACATCACTTATTCGGGAATAAAACCATAGAAATTCAAAAGGAACTGCAAATATTTAGAATCGTTTTAATGTTTAAAATAACCAAATAGATCTTTCTGTTTAGTTTTTTATTAACAAATACCAAACAATTCCCTGTAAAATACACTATAATTTGATCATTATGATATCAAATAAATATATAATATATATTTGAAATGATAAATATTGGACTAATTGGGTTGGTCGAGATTGAACCATTGAATAACTTTAAAATATATTATATGTTAACCATTAAGATATAAAATAATAGGATAATATATATTGTGTCAGAGAAAATAGCTTGTTTTAGAATGACAAACCAATGATGTTCATTTGTTTTACTCGATGGCTAAATCCCGTGTAGGTCAGGCTCATTCAACTATATTTTATCACCACGGAGAAATAAAAGAGCTTAAAGAAAAAAATTAACACTCCTAGACCCGTTTAAATTCGCATGGGTAGGGTAAGTTGGCTCGTCCACAGAGGAAAGAGGAAAAAAATTGACACTCTCTATTCTACGCTTCCTACAAACGCTTTTAGAATGACAAACCAATGATGTTCATTTGTTTTACTTGATGGCCAAATCTCGTGTAGGTCAGGCCCATTCAACTCTTTTATTTTATGTTAGTTGTTAGCCCATTAGATACCATGCATTAGTTTATTGTTAAATTTTTTATTTTTAGCAATAAAAAAGAGTATTGTTTTTGCCTTTTCATATATATTTTATCACCACGGAGAAATAAAAGAGTTTAAAGAAAAAAATAGACACTCCTGGACTCGTTCAAATCAGCATGTGTATGGTAAGTTGGCCCGTTCCACAGAGAAAAAAGAAAAATAATTGACGCTCCCTATTCTACCCTTCCTATGAACGCTTCTGGAGTAGGGAATTTGAAATAGGGGAAGAGTTTTTTCCTCTCTGCTATTATATGTTTTTAATTTAAAAAGATGTTTAATTTAAAAAGATGGTTAATGGTCATGATACAAATCTCAATACGGGAGGAATTTCCTTCGGTATATTATAATATCAATATGTGTTGATGTATAAGCTACATCAACAAGTCAATACAAATTCGAAGGCCCAATAACAAGAATTAGGCACACCGATAAAATCGAGCCCCCAGATAAGAGGGTTTCGAGAAGCCCACAAGGAAAAAAGGATTGGACTTTGGAAATTGTAGGGCTTTACCCCTCAGGGAGCCCTTCCAGAAATTCTCGAGGGCCGTGGGCAAGCCGCGGCCCAAGAGGGGGTTTGGAAATAGTTTTCAACCAGCAATTGACGCGCCTCGGTTATTACCTCACTAGCTGCGTCATTGCCCCAAGCGCAAAGATAAGTTTTTCAAGTTGGGCCTGCAGATGTTTATATGCTCCACTTCCCCTGCTCCTGCTGTTCCAGTGTGCGATGTGGTATGTATTTTCAGCTACTCTTGGATTGATGCTCAAGCCACATTATCAATGGACAGTATGCTCCTCCTTTCCTTCAGTTCTTCGTTTTGGGCCATGAATCATTATCGTTTGCCCGATCCACATTGAACATGGGTTTTCTTCCTTCCTGATTACATTAGCAAGGAAGAACTCGATTAGAAAGTTGATGAATTTCTTTATCTAACCCAACAAGCCGTTTTGATATTCGTGTGATTCTGGTGTTTAAGTTCTTTTGCTTATTGTTATATCATCTCCTAGTGTTATCAACAGTTAACATCGGAAATTTGTTAATAATGTGGTATAAGATTTATTATTGAACATCTTGCAACATACATGTTAAAAATTTGCAAGAAGCCAAACACAACACTATCATAAAACCATAACTTGCTACTAATTAACTTTGAAGTGATACAGTAAAATATAACTGGGGAAAAGGTCGCAGAACCGTCCCGATTCATCCACCTTGCCCGTACATACCAACCGCGCAAACACCATAAAAACGTGACATAGCTTAACAAAGACGTTCCCTTTATTCGCCTAGAAAGATCACTGTTCTCCCTGCTCTCACTAACCTCCCACCCTCGACAGAGAAAAACACCAGAAGAATAAAAAATGACCTTGGAGATCGCTGTGAAGGCTGCCGCTGGTGCTCCAGAGCTTCTGGGAGACTGTAAAGCTTTCTCCTTTTCCTCCACCCTTATTTATATTTCATGATACAATCTCATGTGGCGACTCGATGTTCGACAAATCATGGTTCTGCAATCTGGGTTTTTTATAGGATCTGTGGGGTTTTGGTTTTGGGTGTTCAGGTCCATTTTGCCAGAGAGTTCTGTTGACATTGGAAGAGAAGAAGGTTCCTTACAAGTCGCTTCTTGTCAATCTCAGCGATAAACCTAAGTGGTATGGTTTTCTTTTTAGCTCTTTCCTTTTCATCGCTCTCGCTGATTGATCTGTAAGCTTCATGTTAAAGTTTTTGCCTTCTCTGTTTACTTTCAGTTCCTTAGCTAATCTGATGGGTTGAGCTTATAGTTCTGTAGCTGAGGTTGTAATCAGATAGTAGTGGCTTCAAAAGCTCTAGTTCGTTCTGCTTATTGGGACTTACTTGTCTGTTTGGCTGATCTTGTAAGATAGACCACATTCTCTTCACTCTTGTATCTGTATACTAGATGATTTGTCTTTTGGTAGTGCTTTTCCTTGAAAGACTGATCTTCACTGCAATGGGTTAATGAAAATTTCCTTTTTGGTTCTGGTACTAGAACAACTACAAGTACTTTATTAATGGGGTCATACTACTTACTGAGAGTCTTAGTCCCAAGTGAATCTTGTCTTCTAGATTAACTTTGGGACTGTATGGAAACTGTGTGGCTTCTTGTGGTGCGTACTGATGGAAGAAAATGTGTTTCTTGTTGGTTTGATTAGGTTCTTGGACATCAGCCCCGAAGGGAAGGTTCCAGTGGTGAAATTTGATGGCAAATGGGTGGCTGATTCTGATGTCATTGTTGGGATCCTAGAGGAGAAATACCCTGAACCATCTCTTGTCACTCCTCCTGAATTTGCCTCTGTGTAAACTCTCTCTTCCACTGGCTAGGCTCCCACTGTTTACATACAGTTGCAGCTGAAAAAAGATTTAAGATCTCAGTGATGTTTAATGTAATAGTGAGTTGGTTAGCTTCTGGACCCAGATATGAATCCTTATCGATTATTCTGAAAAGTTGGAACTTTTTGTTTGCAGAGGCTCAAAGATATTCATATCTTTCATCAACTTCCTGAAGAGCAAGGACCCAAGTGATGGAACTGAGAAGGCGTTGGTCGATGAGCTGAAGGCACTTGATGAGCATCTCAAGGCAAACGTATGTAAAAAACTTGAATTGCAAATGCATGTAATAAGAATGGATGGCTACCTTGTTTATTATTTCTTACTGAAACACAAAACTAAATGGCTGGCTATGAATCAGGGGCCTTTTATTGCTGGGGAGAAGATCACTGGTGCAGATTTGAGCTTGGCCCCGAAACTGTATCATTTGGAGACTGCTCTTGGCCATTTCAAGAAGTGGAGCGTTCCTGAAGACCTGGGTCATGTCAACAACTACATGAAGGTAAGTTTACTTTGATTTGTATGTTAATTGTCCAAATTTGGAACTTGCCCCCGTCTCATTGGAAGAAGGATGAGTTGGAACTTGGTCTGGATGGGGTAGATGTAAAAAAAACTAACCCTTGCTGTGTTTTGTTTCTGTAATTGCAGACATTGTTCTCCCGTGAGTCATTTGAGAACACCAAGCCTGCTGCCAAAGAATATGTCATTGCTGGTTGGGCACCCAAGGTCAATGCTTGAACCAGTTCTCTAATATGAGTAGTGGTTGTGAGATTCTGTTTGCAATGTTGCTGAGGATGTTGTACTAGTAGACTCTGCTACACAAAAAAATCTATTTGACGGAGAAGAATAACGGTTATGTACTCGATCTTTAACGGTGGTGTGATCACTTAGTCTTATGTACTTGAGAAGAATTGAGACTCTTGCCATGTTGTTGTGGTATCGATACGTTGGTGTATGTCTACCTTACTAAATGTCGTCTCAATCTAAGGAGTTAGCTGATTGATAATGTGCGAGGATAGAATTCACCACATCCTGTTCTCTAAAACTACTCATTTTATGTTCAAAGTCTTACAAAAGGCATATACTAAAATGGGGGTTGAGAGTTGAAATCATTCAAAATTAGGGGTTGAAATCTCAACTATTAATTGAGTTTTGAAATAAATAATTGTGAATGACGTTTCTAATCTCTACTTCCAAACAACATGTTTTTCAAATAAACTCATTTATACAAACTACTCGTTTCAAATAAACTCACTTTAGGATTCTTTCATCCCAAAGTGAGTTCAAAATTTTGAATACGATTTTAGATCATTTAGGGGCCATTCCAATGATAGATTTAGAAAATAGGTAATTTGACCAAATTGTTTCAAAATTACCCCATTCCACAATTGATGGATCATTTCAATATACTTGCCCCTCCTCCTATCAATTCAAATCAAAACGAAGTAATTCATATTGCATCGACCCAATTGCGGCATCTCTACTTTGTGTCACCAAACAATCTAGTTCTATCATCTAAACGACCCTTAAACGACCCCTTAAGAGGTATTTTTGCTACAACCTCAAGTGCTCAATTATTGAATGAACGAACTTTCAACTTGAAGTAAAATGAAACGTGTATATATAGTGCTTTTATTCACACAGGCAGTAGGTCCATGATCATGATAACGTCGATAGACAGCTCTGTTCCTGTACATGCAAGCGTCCAACGAAGCAGGGGTAGGGAAATAGTACAGCATACAGCCAAAGGACTTCAGTTTATGAAGATAATAGAATATCACCAATCTCATTTCTCCATTTTCACCCACACAAAAAGTAGTTGATCGTGACCAGCCAGCCATCCAAGCTTTTCATTTTGTTTTCGTCTTTGTGGGTTCTTCACCCTTTTTCTTCCTCGAGATTCTACTTGACTGTCCCCATGAAGCATGTTCTTTACTTCATTTTAACGAGAGAAATAGAGAGCTGATCAGCTTCACATAGTTGAGACAAACAAAGAAAACAACCACCAATTTATCATCAGTTGAGAGCTGATCATCCCTCTTTAAGTTCAAAATGATGATGATCTCTGCAGGTAAGCAAGAGGGTTTGATAGTATTTTGTGCTCAAGATTCACGTGATCGTACGATGATGAGATGAATACAGCAAGAAGACTGACATGAACATGCAGCAGATAAGTAGACCTGTCCTCTTACGTATACTACATAGCTACTTCCATACATGAGGACAGAAAAGGGCAATGGACCACTAGGAAGGCAAGGGACACATGTAGGAATAAACAGAGTTTGAGATGTTCCTTTCTCCTCCTGTGAAAATAATCAAAATATAGCTGAAAAGGGAGAGAAATTGTAAACCTGCTAAGGCTTTCATGATCAGTCCTTGGAGTCTTCTTTGGAGGATTCAGTGATCATCTTCTTGATCATGGCGCTCGTTTCTTCCTCGGTCATCCTTTCGTCTTTGCTCTTGGATTCGGCATAGGCTTCGAAGAATCCTTTGTTCTCTTTCTCCAGTTCATTCCACACTGCCATCAACACACAGATGAACACAGACAAAGAGTTACCATCTTATTGATGAACGTGGGATCTTTGTGATCACAAGAATTGGTCTTCTATCTCTATGCATGGATCACAGAGATGATCTAGGAATGACATGTTGGACCTGAAAAGGTCACGAAACTAACTTCAGTCCCACTCTTTTGCCCGATGGATCAGCCCTTAACAAAAAAAAAATTCTAGGATCAACGATGAAGAGAACGGCGCTAAAGGGTTAATCAAGTTTCAGATATTGGAGGGCATGATGATCCTGAAACGAGAAAAAGCAAGCAACTTTCAGTTTTCTCAAAGAGTACTGTTTGATCATAAATTAGTTCCAAGCAAAGCAGGTTTATGGATCATAAGAAAGCTTGAATTTTGATGGTTAAGACCCGGATCCGCTTTGCTGGTATGCAATATGAAGAAACTTGCTACGTGTTTTCTTCATCTTTACCAGGTTTATGAAATATCAAGCTATGGTTAAGCCAATGAGGACTTGCACAAAACAGTATCAAAGTAAAAAAAGTGGAGAGGGAGGAGAGATAAACCTGTGGAGGTGATGACAGGTTCGATGTTTGCATGCTTGGAGAGAGCTTCCATGCACTCTTCTTTACTCATATGGAAGATCAAGCATTTCTCTATTAGATGCTGCACCTGTAGATACGTTTGCCAAATGCCAAACCATCAGTGAATACCATCAGCACAAAGTGGGAAGAAAAAGAAAAAGCAGAAAACTTATCAGAAGAAAATGATTGGAGGACAGTTTCAGTAATATCTCTCAATAACCAACCATGTGTATGTATGAAGCAGAAGAGTCCCCCTCCATGAATGAACAAATGGTCTTCCCTTAAGAAGCAAGTCCCACTTCTTCACTAACTACTACTGGGATCTGAACCCACTAACACAAGGACTACAACAAGCCAGTGCAACATATATATACACAGCAACATGGTGCAGCAGTCCCCAAGAAGAAAAGAGAACTGCAGCACAAGATTCAAGTTGATGTGGGGAAGATAGAAATACGACCCAAAGTAGCCAAAAGAGGTGGGGAAACAATGTATTAGTAGAGTCCCACGTGGGCTATGTGCAACAATTGGCTGAGAGAGGATTAGAGGAGATTCTGTAAATGACAGCATGGAGCTTGCCACTTAGGCAAAACCTACAAGCACCCCCTCCACGTGATTGCTGGGACCTTCTCCAGGTCCCAGTCTAGAATTTGTGAGGAAAAAACAGGCAAAAGCTCCCAACATATGATATGGAATCCTCCAATAGTGTTTTTTTTGTTTGAAGTGATCTCTCATTTCATCTCTATTCTAGGCTACCAGCAGACAACAGTGTGAAGCTAACTTGGCCTTCTCTTCTTTGCATATTTTCCACTGGTTTGTGTCTTGTGGGACATGCAGCCAAGATCATTGATGATAAAAAAAATTCCCAATGAAAGTTGTTGATTGCAACCAAACTTCTTTCTACAAATAGCCAGCTCTGTAGCACAGTTTTTTTCAAGTGAAGTGACACCAGTCATTAATCTGGCCAAGGTACACAGATATTCCTTCCTCACAAATGTATGCATCATATAGTCTCGTTTACCTATCAATGGGTGAAGTGGAAAGCTTGCCAAGATATTCTCATTTTCTGTGCTTTCTAAAGAAAGCAGAAGGAAGAAACCTCTAATTAGCTATAATGCTATCAAGTGCTAGAAGATTTTTCACAACCCCGAAATCCATCAAAAACTGCCATGATGGCACTAAGTCCACGTGACGACCAGTGATTGGTTGCCAAAAGCCTAGCCGCCAAGATTGCAGTTTTAACCGCTAACCTAGTGTCTCCTTGTCTTCCCCCCTTGCATATCTTACAAATGAATGCAACTAGCACACTTCTCTTTCTTGACTAGGGACTTATGCCCTTCCAAATGCTAATTTGACTTGTCAAAGTCCTTGCCCCAGATTTCTAGTTTGTCATAATGCCTTTGGAGTCTCTGGCCCTTTATCAGGATACAGGGAAACTGAAGATGCATTCCACTTGAGAAGACCAAGAATAACACGAAACCAGACCAAGAATGCATCACCACCCAGATATCCAAATACCCCATTCAAATGAGCAACGAACCTCTTCGAACAAAATAGACAATTTCTGTTACCTTCTAACAAAAATTGCAGACTCCGGACATGGGTTATGCAACTTCTAACGAAAACCATCCATAAAGCTCCACTTATATCCAACTAATTTTCGATAATTCCAACCGTCAACTAAATATCAAACGCCAGAAACACAAAAAGCTAGTGTCCAAAATGTTGGTGAAGCCAACAAAGGGTTATCATGATCCCACTTGAAAAATATTGAATTTGTTAAGGACAACGAAAAGAAACTATTCTCTAGTAGGCAGCAAATAAAAAATGCAAGCTGATGGCAAGAGACAGCAGAAAGGCCAAAATTTATAGCAGAATTGCAGAAGCATCAAATAATGGAGTTTATCGGAGACTACGGTTATATAGCGTGGTGGTCCAAATAGGACAGCAGAGAGCATAATCATAACATCGTTCAGCTCTTTTTGGTTCTTCCCCTAGTGCCAATACTTTCAAATTTCCTGATATCGACTGCTTCTGCAACCGCATATAATAGAGACTAGAGAGAGAGAGAGAGAGAGAGAGAGAGAGAGTGAGTGAGAGAGCTCACCTTTACCCATTGTGGAACTCGGTATTTTGATAAGATTGAGGCGGATGAAGTGTTGGAACCCCATTGGCTGCGGGGCTGCCATGTGCGCGCGCCCAGGATCAAAATCAAGGCGAGGAAAGACTCCACCTTGCCATTTAGTTTTGGTGCTCGATCCGGGTCCTCTGTCTGCATTCACCATCGCGTACGCCAAAGCTTTTCCAGTGACCCACCACCATAAATCCCCTTTTGTTTGCTGGTGACGATAAATCGAAGACTAGAGACGACCCGTTGGCGAGGACAAAACTTCCCCAAAACCGGACGAAAATGAGCAATTTGAGCGAGCGAGCGAGCGAGCTGTGAAAGCTGAGAATCTGGGGGCCAATTTTGACGGTCGCAACCTGTTCGATAAAATGCCTGTGAGAGGGAACAAGTTTGGAATTGAGGAATTGGGGGGATGGGTTCCAAAAGGGAGGCCCGCGCGAGCGAGTTCTGCAAAGTAAGCAGCGTCAGGACTCGGCCAGCCTATAACCCCTCCAAAAATTACTTGCGCATAATACTATGTCAACTGCGCGGCGAGCGGCTCCCACCGCTCGCTTTGTTTTCCTTACTCATTAGTTTAAGGCAAGTTTGTAAGTAGGAGTCCAATGGTTAGTTGTACCTAGCTGGCTCGTCCACGTTTTAGAGAACCGCCGATGTGGTAGGAAAAAAAAGGAAGTTGAGACTTGGTGTTTTTCTTCTAGGAGGAGGGGTTGAAACCTAAGCAGTACGACCAGCTGACCGAGTAACAGGTCGACTCTAATTTGACGTCGTTTTGTTGTTACAAGAAATCGAGAAAATCTGCTACATCGGCTTCTTTTTATCCAATTCACGTTTCGAAGAGGAAAAAGTATTTCTTCTTACCCTTCTCTTCTCCTTCCCACAAAGTGGTGGAGGGAGCCATTGAGGAGAGACCACATTTAGCAACAAGTTTGTTACCAAAACCCTTTGAATATATGCGTTTATGTATGATTTTGTTGAGATAGGACCTCATAATTTGGTCGATATTACCTCACTTAAGGACCCCAATAAACTCAAAATTGTAAGGACCTCAGTCAATTCAAACTCTGGCTACACTACTGCTCCCACATACCAAATTTGTTGACGGATGGGAAAGAGAGAAAAAGCATATCAAAGGCACTGAAAGGTAACTGGAGAGGGATAATAAGATAAAGGAGAGGAAGACGAGGGGGGTTGGAAGATTTGTGGAGTAATGAAGTTCTTCTTCCTCGAAATTCACACCACGAAATTAGTTATTTCTCTTGAGGGGAAAAGAGACCGATGAAAGAAGGAGACTGGAGGAGGGTAGGAAGGAAGAGAAACCAAATCATATGAGGGAAAGAGAGAAGGTGACCAACAAAGGAGATGGAAGAAAGGGGGAAATAAAACATAACGTGAAGGTAAGAAGGAGACACAAACAGAGGTGTAAGAGAGAAAGAGCATATCGGAGACTTGAAGGAGGAGGTAAGAAATTTTGAATTATGGATAGATTTTTAAAGGGCAGAGAAGTATATTTTGTTGTGCTTGTGTATAAAACGGGCCAGCCATATTTGACATGCGATTCAACTCGCCCGAAAACCCAGTTCCTTGATCGGGTTGATAGGCGTTGGGCTAATAATCTTGATGTTGGGAGGAGTTACATGTTTAGGATGATAGGGTTTATAATTGATCGATTCATTATACTAAGTATGCATTGGGTTGCTTTATTATTCGTGTGGTTTTTTTCATATTAGATATTTCATATCGACGTGACTCATCATGTTTCATCCCGTGTTTCATCTTTTTAGTAATTATTATATGAGGCGTATTTGCAAAACTTATTATTTATTTGTGGTAGTTTTCACTCGTCAAAACTGGCAAGGTTTAGTACTCATTGGTGAATGAGTTGAATGTTCCTTCATACAGGTTGACAATCTCAAGGTGAATTGTGAGAAAGATTCTTCGATCTTGAAATGTATATTATAAGAAGGGTCGAGTATGGTGTTGGTACGTAATGTAACATTTAATGGGGATAAGGTTCATATTCCATTCGAAGTAGGGTATGTAACGTAACATTCATCGTTAGGCTGCGTGTTCCTCATTTTCCCTTTGCCATTTTAAGTTAATTTGGTATTTTTGACATTCCATCTTATGAAAATTGCAGGCATTCAGAACCCAGCCTGTTGTTTCCAAAAAAAATTTGGTTGCCAAATGTTCTATACAATTCAACGCACCAATCTAGAAAATCACTGAACCATCTTGTTATCTGTAACATGCAGGCGATTATATATAACATAAAAAACAAGTGTAGAAAATCACTGCTTGATGCAGTGTGGCTAATACGCGTTCAAAGCACGAATCTACCGCCACCAAGTTGTAGTAGTGCTCATTGATCTCGTCTCTGAGAAACAATACAAGGAGAGAACAAATCGCAAAACCCAAAATGTTTATGTTTGACTCATCGAATTTACACGCTATAGCAAATATTGAACACCTGCTTTACAAAGAATACATCCCTACACCTAATTGCCAAATGCCTTCGACAACGGCTCTTCTGCGAATTATATATATACCCTTTTCAAGGAGTGAACTTATGCGACAACAATGGCTCCTCCAAGTTAGGGTCGCCACCATTCCTCAAACCAGTTGGTTTTCTCTGCCCAGATTCTAACTCGGCCACCGACAAATCCTCCCCTCTCTGCTTCAACAACCTCTCGAACAGACTGGGTTTCGTCGACTCGGCCGGCGACGAAGTTCGGTGCAGGCTCTGAACCTGCTGAAGACAGACCTGGACCGCGTCATGCACTCGTACGAAGCACCATTCCTTGCCAATGAGCTCGACGACGCCAGCTTTTGAGAGCGTCAGCAGAACTCCTCGGTTCGGATTCGAAATAGCTATCTGCAAGAAATTAGATATGCCAACAACGAATAGTAAAGATGTGAAATTGGGCCTCAAATGGGCCAGGGCCACTACTGAAATCCAATATTAGTGGGCCGAAGGAAAAGTTAGACTAGGAATTGGGTAGGGGCCGCGCGAACGCAGGCCCCCGCTGCCACAAATTATGACGTAGGCTCTCCCACTATGGGGAGACCTTAGCCCAGCACCCCTCCAAAAGTGCAATGGAGGTCACTGGCCTAGACCACAGGCCTTATTGATCGCCCGTAGATCCCGTCCAGGTAAGTATGTCGTGCAGTTGCACCCACCTCGTTTTTTATACTCCTTTCCCCCCTTCTAAACTTCTTATGTTAATCGATGTGGTATATTCTTCTTATATCCTACTCCTTCCCTAACTTATCTCCTGGCAGCCGGTCTTGTCATCTCACTGCAGTTCATTGCATAAAAATGGAAGGGGTGTCATACCTGGATATCTCGTGATTTGTACTCGTGGTGCAAGTCCTTCAGAGCTTGGACAGCGCTCGAGTCGATGTACGTAACAGCTGCAGAGTTTTGAGCATAAGATGTCAGACCACAATCTGGGGGATGATATGGTTTTGGTTGTGATGGTAAGCTGATTCGAACTTACGCGACATCTCTAGAATCACAAAGTAGATTCTTTCGACTTCTGGTCCACGTCGGAGCGACTTGTCGACGTTAACTTCATAGTCTCGCAATCTGGAATGGTAAAAAGGAATTGGGATAAGGGGTACTACAAGTACGGAGAGATGATCAAAAGGGAGTGCGGAGTTTTTACTTGTTGCCAACCTGTCTTTTATGTAGCTTGTATTTGCAAAATATATTGGGGCATCAATGCGAACGACCACGATTCCGTGGTATGTGTATGCCTCAGGGTATTGTTGAACGTTTCTATACACAGTGGTGCCAGGAAGCCGCCCCAGGACAGCTGCAGTGCAAACAAATGTTGAGTTGAATGTATGATTCGTTTGTGCTATGCTATGTGATTGAATCAATTTTCCTATTAGTCGCTTACCGATATGTGGATTTGCAGACTCATGGATGACAAAAGCAAGTGAGACACCAACCTACAGTTTCAAAGTCGAGAAAAAGGTTAAATAGACAACTTCTTCCACCATTCAAGAACAGTCCATGCTCTCAGTTTTTGGTGTTGTTTTGCTATTTGTCAATAAATCTTCTTACCCCAATGAGAACACCAATCTCGATACCCAGGAACAAAGTGGTGGTGCAAGTAATGATCCAAAGAAGAAAATCCTTCTTATCGATACGCCATAGGAAGATGGCCTCCTCATACTCGATCTGAAATTCCCAAAATTTGCAGCCAATTTAAGTCAGCGGTATTGTCAGAATGGTAAGTCTCAACTCTGTGTAGATGCATTAATGCATAGAAACTCTCTGCCTATCCTAAGTTCAAAGTGGAGTATGAATTAAAGTGTCCATGATGCAAATGGTGCAAAGCATAAATATGAGCGACTGCATTTTTCTATTTATCAGTTCACTCACCAGGCCAATCACAGCAGAAACGACTATTGCAGCCAGGGCACACTGTGAAGAAAACCATAAAAAGAAACCCAAGGTGAGAAACCAACTTCCTCATAATTGAATATAAGGCTTACAAGGCCACAACAGATTTGTTTAAATTCTTCTAGTGTACTATCAATGGAGACTAAAGGTAAACAGCAGTGGCAGTGGCAGTGGCGGGAACATGGAAACTAACCTGTGGTATGAACTCAAATAATGGAGTCAGGAATAAAAGAGCACAGCCCATAACTATCCCAGTAATGATTCCGGATAAGCCAGTTTTTGCACCACTCTCATTGCTAACAGCTGACCTAGAAAATGAACCTGCATAGTACATGTGAAAGGACAATCCCTACTTAGCAGTCCGTTACCAAGTGATATTATGACGTGAACATGCTTTTGTAGGCAGAAAAAAGATGATCTCAATATATCAGAAAAATATTGAAGGTCCCAGGTCATTGTATCTCTCACCTGTTGAGGGATAGGAGGAGAAGAAAGAGCCAAAGATATTGGCTAAACCAAGACCAACCAACTGGGAAATGAGAATAGTAAATTAGCTTTTCCATGCAAGGTAGGCCAACCAAGCTAAAAGATGCATTCATCAATAGCATTAACACATCTCTAACCATCCTTTCAAAATACATCTCTCATAGCTTGATGCTGTCTAACTAGAGGCAATGGAGCATTCATACAGTAACTGAGTCACTTTGGCACCAAAATTTCTTGCACCAAATTTTTTTACAGTTTAAACTGCGTACCTCCTGACTTGAATCGAGCTCATATCCATTCTTTGCAGCCAAGGCTTTGGCAATCCCAACAGATTCCTAATAAGTTCAAGGGTCAGATTGGAAAGTATAACTCATATTTAAGAAGCAAAATATATAGCATGGCCATTGTAATTGATTCTCTTACCAATATTGCTACCCCAGTAATGAGAAATGCTGTGGGTATTAGAGACTTCGCATATCCAAAATTCTTTGGAACTGAGAAACTTGGGAGACCTTGAGGTATCTCTCCTATCTATAACAAGACCAATTTCCTCGATCAGCCAGAGTCATAGTTCATATAAATTCAGAAAGATCATAGGTGGAAACATCCATGAAGGAGTTTCATTACTGTAGACAAATATCCAGAAGGGAACGTAAATTAGGAATTAGTTCGCTGCTATAGAGATAAGCGAGAATTAAGTTGTCTAATACGAATTGTACGTCTTTACTAAACACTCCCTAGTCTTAGAATAGACTAGTAGCTAACTAATCAGCTAACAGATGCATGGGTGACTCCATTTTGCATTACTTTCATGGCAGGTAAGTCCTGGACTGTTGATGTCTTAGGTTGCATATTTGAGGAGAATAAATATAGGCATGTTTTAAGCAGGTTTTCATTTACTGCCTCCCCTGAACCAAGTAACTATTCAGATTGAAGATAGGATCAAGCATACAAAACCCCGATTCGAGTATATTTCATTTACTCCGGCCACATGTTAAACATACAGTTCTTTGCAAGTTTTGCTTCAGGAACACGTTACACTCACCAATGAAATAGATGAAGGATGAAATATTGTTGCTAAAGTGGTCCCCAAAACAACACCGGTCAGGGGTCCTGCAGCTCGAAGAAATCTGAATTGCTTCCTCGATTTTCCCTTCAACAAGAATGCAGCAATAATCAATAGAACGGCATGGTACTACATTAACAAAGGTTATCGAAAGGCTAAGTGATTTCCATACCAAATGCTTCATAATAAGGAGTACAGCAAGTATGCCAGATCCCATCACGAAAGGAGGCCACGAGAACTACAAAAGCAAAGCCTGCTGTTAAAGAAACGAAGTAATGAGTGGTAATACAGGGCCTCGCCTTAAAAAAGTAATGTGTAGATCACAAGCAGCAGAAATTATCCCCCATCCCAAAAGAACAACAAAAAAGCATACCAAAAATGCCACCCAGAAAGGCATTCTACTGCAAAGTTCAGGGCATTAGCTACATAATTGCTACACATGTTTGGAAGATGCAGAAAATCCTTCGTGGAAGCTGTTTCCAATTTCAGTTTCACAGTTCAACCGGTGATTTCAGAAGCATTCAATCAATAACAACCGAAACTCTTCACTGATTCAAAGAGCACTTCCAGATTTAGTAGTTGGAAGCTCTCTAATCGGATAACAAAAGGTGATCGTCATAGCACAACAGGTTCTAGCCATTATCCTTTATGTATAATAACATCACACGAAGCCTGCACAAGCCGTCCTACCTGGTCTGCACCAGCTATTATGCTCTGAATCAGTGGCACAATCTTGCTACTCTGAGTGATGTTGTATCCCAAGAAATACTTTGCTTGTGATAGTCCAATCACAACAGCTGAAGCAGTTGTGAAGCCAGAAATAACAGAGTGGCTGATGAATCGTAAAAGCCATCCAAGCCTACAAAATGAAGAGAGCGACGATAAAACAAGTTACTATGAACCATGGGAGCAAATAGGACATGACTAAGAGTCTGAAAGACCATAACTTTAAAAAGAAGGAGCCCAGTGTACAAAATGGGAGCATCACCTACCTCAGAAGACCCATAATGCACTCCAGCATTCCAACCATAAGCGCCAATACTATGGCGAGTTCAGTGTACAGCTCGTCTGAAGAACCAGCAATTCCCCTGAGAACATTAGACACCAGGAGGGAAACCAAGGCCACTGGACCAATCGCCAGTTGCCGCGATGATCCGAATATTGCATACACAAAGATGGGGACGAAGCCAGTGTCTAGCTTGCATAAACAACCACCCCAGAGTTTGAGAAAGCTTAAAGAAGACTGATTTTAATTAGTTTTACTCCAGAGGTCTCAATGTATATACTTACACAGTCCATAGATTGGTTCAAGCCCTGCTAATTTTGCATAAGACATAGCCTGTTTAAGGTAACAGTAACAAAAATTTCAGGCACCAAACAAAAAAAAAAAGAATCAAAGTGACCCAGGCACCAATTCCGCCATTAATGACCCAGGCAAATCAGCACAGTGAAAGAAAAAAGGATCCGCAAGGCTGGAACACGATTGGAGGAAATGGTAACGAACGCATTTATGTAAAGTGTGGAGGCGCAGATAACGCCAATCCCTAATTTCCGATTCAGAACGACCAATAAATACGTTGAATACAACCATACAAGCCCGACGTTACGGCGGGGAAAGAATGACCTGAGGGACGAGCATGATGCCGATGGTGAGACCGGCGACGAGATCGACCTGGAAGTCGTCGCGCCACCTGTAGGTTCGAATCCAACGGTAACAAGGGAAGAGGCCTTCGACGAATTGCAGGAAGGTGAGGCGCTTCCATTTGGCGGCGAGACCGGAGAAGAAAGCAGCCGGAGAGGCTGGAGAATTCGAGGAGGAGGAAGACGAAGCGGCGCCGGCGGTGGGATGCTGGAGAGGAATGATCTTGACAGGCCGGGAGACTCCCCCGGCGGTGGTGGGCATGGCCGGGGAAGAGAGGTCCGGGTAGCTGGGCGAGGCGTAGGTTGAGTCCATGCGCACTAGCGGCGCAATGGAGCGCGGAAGAAGAAGAAGAAGAAGAAGACAAAGAAACTGCTCCTTCACAACAAAACAAAACCAGATTTGTGGCGCAAAGGAGAGTTGACAGAGAATCAGGGAGAAAGGGGGGGAAAGGACGAGGAGATCAAAAAAGCTTCTCAGGAGGCGGCTTTTCGGATTTGTTTGAAATTTTGCTTGTGGCTTTTGATTGATGTGCTCTCGAATAATAATGTTCCGGAAATTAGTTGTTCTTGTGCGCAAGAAATTAATTGGCGCGAATAGGAACATTATGATGATGATGATGATGATGATTTTACGAAGACATGAGAGGAGGAACTCATTTGACTCTCTGCAACTGAATGTAGACGCTGTGCGGAGTAAGGTTCAATGGTGACCATAGCACAACAGACACGTGCACGCAAATTCCGAATAACCTATTTGCTGCTGCTGCATTTGTGCTGTTGGCGTCAGGTTTCCTCCGTTTCGGAATAGCTTACCCGTAAATTGCAAAAATCAATGGTTTTTTTTGTGAGTATGCGCTACGAGATAGTCTTCTTTCCATTTCGGCTCTGTTCCATCGAGAGTAAAGGTTAGAACGAATTCTAGAATTGTCAATTCGACTGCCCATAGAGTAACACGTAAAATCATTTCTTTGACTTTGTTGTAGTTGGAATGTTTTCGATTTCTTTTTCCCCTGGCTAATGTTATAGTCAGACTGGTTGGGCGCTTTTATGGTGAAATATTTCTTGCAACTATTGTTTCTTTCTTGACATTTCTCAGTAAAAAAAGAAAACAGGGCCACCCAACCAAAAATGAATTCTACCTATAACAGAACTTGAGAGGACTGGATTGCATAGAGCAGACAAAAATCATACAATTAGGAAAGGATTCAACTTTAATTCTTATCTATGAAGCAACACTAAGTAACCATCCTCCACCTTCTCCCACATGCCACATCCCATCTCCTCTGCCCTTACACTCTGCTCCACCTACCCTAATTCAACATTACAAAATGCTGTGTTTGATTAGGATTGCAGAAGGAACTGGAGGGAGCAGCAATGGAAGAGAGCAACAAGACCATGACACTGGAAAAAAAGATAAAGGACATTCTGTCATCCTGGCTGCTGCTGCTTATGATTGAGCATGCTCGGGTTTGTGCGAGTACTCATAGTCGAGATGAACAAAGGCTCTCTCAATCTCTGGCAGCAGCTCTAGCTTCTCCTGCAGCGACTCGCCAATGTCGTGGGCCTCCTGCAGTGGCATAGCAGCAGGCAACACGATGTCAACCTCCACAAAGTAGTGGGAACCGAACGTGTAAGCCCGGACCGTATCAATGTGCCTGATGGATTTGTGGTGGTTCCATGAGAGGTAGGTGAGTTTCTGGAGATAGTCTGGAGTAGCCGATTTGCCAACGAGGGAGTGCACGTTCTCCAGAACGGTCATTGACCATGTCCGGATTGTGTACAATGCCAGCTGCAGGGAGGAACCCAAATAGATTATATTACATGTTTAGCTTCAATAGTTACAGTTACGCCACTGAGCAGAACTGCTAAGATGAGTCTGAGAACTTGCAAAGCAAAGGAAAAGAGGGAGGGTACTTACAATTATGGCTCCAACAGGGTCCATCCAGGCGTCAATGTAGTTGGCAAGAAGTGCAGCAAAAAGGCCAATGAAGTTTGTGACAACATCAAAGAAGTGATCTTGAGCATAGGCTTTGATAATCTCATTGGTAAACGTGCGGCAATAGACCATCAGAAGCAGTTTCACCAGGGTTACTGACAGCATTATCCCCACAACCCAACGCTCTTGATCTCTGGTAAGAACAAATTCTTTCTCCTGGATATGATAAGCATTAGGGGGAAAAGGTCAGGACGCCTTCTTTCAACATTTTCCTTCACGAGGACTTTGATTAACTTACACTAGACATTAATGCACGTGCCGACTCCAAGATTATCTGCAGTCCCAGAGTCGCCATTACAGATGCAAAAACAAGAATTCCCTGCATAACATTCACAGTTTATTATTTCATTCATCCAAAAAATAAAACACACAGACAATTTATTTTAGAGCTTATTCTAAAGGCCATCGACCAATTCAGTAATAAATCAAACTTGCAATCTCCATCATATCTATGTCATTGTCACGTGAAGTATCAACTTTCTTTCACATCAAAAGTACAAACACACGAGCCATGGTGTTCCTTGGATAAAGTTTCATCCGGCTCGAGATGGGTTCTTATTGTTATCTTCATTGAATAGAACCCGCAGTGAGTGTGCAGAATACATCTGGAGTTCTCGTCAACCAAAGAGGATAAAGCGCCGGCTAGAGAAAGGTATCAAACAAGGACCAAATATTGCATCCCAGAGAGAGGAAAGCAGAAAACAAAACATATTCACTATGTGGCAGTTCACATATGGAGAGAAGCGAACTAAAAAGAGACAGATGATCTAAACATCCACATAGATGGAGAGCAACAACACTAACCATAAACAAATGATTTAAGAATTTAAACCGGTACTATATAAAGATATTCAGTAAAGTACTGACCAATGGCTGCATGCGCTTCTTTCCAATAGGGTATTGATAAGGGTTTGGAGTTTGCATGGAGAAAGCAGTAAACCAGAGGATGAAGCCTGAAAGAAGATCGAGTAGAGAATCCAAAGTCGAAGCAATAATGGCCAATGAACCACTTCGGACTGATGCATAGACCTTTGCAGCAAAAAGAATCATATTAGCCACATTTGAGATTCTAATGGCAAAAGTCTCACTTTTCGCCAACCTTTCCTCCTCCTCCTGCAAGCCATACAAACAATTAAAATGAGATGGCACATGAGGAATCCTGCAGTAATTCTCATCCAAAGAAACCACCAGGAAAGCTCCCAACACAAACCTTTGACATTCCAGGAATAAAGCCACGGTCTGCTAAGGCATCCATCTCAGTGAATCCCTCTAGCATTTCTACCTGCTGCTGGTAGTACACTGCAATATGATCTTCTGGACCTGAACCCATCAGAAAACAATTATTACAGATCACTCAGAACATCTTACTTTAATTCTCATATGGCTTAGAATTCCAACTTAAGCTAGTTGATTTGTTCCAAAATCTACACTCAAACTAAAAAAAGATATAGATATTTCAACAGCATAGAAGAAAAGAACAATTGATAACTCTCATTGTACCTTTGTCAAAAAAAAAAACAAAAAAAAAAACTCTCATTGTACCTCTTCCTCTACCAAATCTAGGACATTCAAGCAGAGAAAGCAAGCTTGAAATTCAGTCATCTGCCTTGATTTGTAAACATCTGCTAAACTGCATCGTTCAACTCATATGCTCGTATACTAGCCAATCGAAACATGGACTACTTGGTGAAACAAATGAAATTCCATTTCTGGGTTTCAGTTAGCCTGACAACCCCAAAACCAGATTAATAAAGTGACCAGAAGAGCACAGACAAGGACAAAAAAACAAACATGCCCACCATGCTGCCACCGCCATATCTCAACTCCCCAAGAGGAACCTATTGAAGGCAAAAGCCATCGAGGGAATCAACTTAATCAGCATAAAGACTAGACTTACTAGAGCCAACAGATGATCCAAAGCCAACCAAACCACCACACATGATCAAGCGGCTAAAAGGGCACAAAGTATTTTACCAGCAGCAGCCGGAACAGCAACAAACCCAGAACCCATAAAGGAACTCATACAGCCAGCTTATACGAAGACAAAAAAATCACCAACCCAACTTGCTCTACCTCTCTCACACTTTGATTAAACATTAATTTCCCCCAGTAAGACCCAAGCAGAAGAGTTAAGAAACAAAGGGCATGACGTTTTATAACCAATAAACTAACATTAAACAATCACCACAAGATATTTGAAAGAATGCCCAACCAGGGTTGATGGGCGAAAAAAGACAGAGGATTCCATACAGCAGAAATAGGGAGCAACCAGAATCTTTTCCATTCCCAAACAGTACGTCGAAACTTTCTACACCATTCGTTCCCTTTCATAAGAGGATTGGAATCGATCCCAGATGTCTAGAGATTTTTTGTGTTACCTGAAACTCCTGGACAGCAATCGTGGATTCCACGAGGCTGCTTTTTCTCCTTGTGCTCTGGCGACCGCTGGTATCCGTCGAAGTTCAACCGCCACGAGCGGTCGATTCCGTTGCTGTCTACGCTTAGAAGGGAAAACTTCTCGTCGTGGCAGCTATCGCCGCCGCCACCGCTGTCCGCCATTTTTTTTTCCGGCGTCTGTTATGCTGAAACCCGAGATGCAGGGAGGGAAGTGGAGCAACGACGCGAGTAGTGAGAAGAAGAATTAAGACAAGTATTGCAGGAGCCAGGAAGGGCGGAAAGGAAGAAGAGGGTACTCGGAGTGGAAATTTAAGAGCCAGGCGAGGGTAGTTTGGGGAAATCAATAGGGAAACTTTACGAAAGGTGTCCACGTCCGACGTTCTCCGGTCAGTATGCAGACGGCGGAGGCCTTTTTGTGGACCGGAAAAATAGGGGAGAAACTGAAAGTCCACGTGGCGGATAATAATTAGAGGGAGGTTGAAGAGCTTGGGATTTACGTGGAGTGGGTCGGTGGACTCGTGGAGCACTAGGTACACGTGTACGGCTGGAGACTCTAATATTTTGGAGTCGAAGTTTAGACCGTATGATAAAGGACCGCCGGTGTGATTCCCGTTGCTGGGGAATAAGGCTCCGGCGACGGCTCCGATCACAGGGAAGTTGGCTGCAAACGGCAAACCATGTCATGGTTCTTAAATAGATGGGGGGTTTCAAATGATTAACACGTTAACTAACTACCAAACCAATTAAGGCATAATTTTATTAACTATGAAATATAATATTTTGATTAGACCAATCAAATTAATACAACAACCAAATATCGTGTTTATCAATAGTACTCACCAATATTATTGCGCAAGATAAAAGTTTCATGTTAATGCGTGAATCTATAATATATAACGAATAACAATCAACTCGTAGTTAACCATTGACAGAAAGTGCAAGCAAGTAATATATATCTTACCGTCACTAGAAGTATTCACCTAACAACATATATATCATCGTTATGAGGGTGATAAATTGGGTGTATCTCCGTGAATCATGGATGACAATTTTGACCTGACCCATTTTACCCGACCTATTTGGACTGTTTGGGGCGGGGCGGGGCGGGCATGGGTACTCTCGTCGACCCGACCTGCCCTAACCAGTTCTTGTCCAAATTACATGTAATCTTAGGCAAATTACTTAATATTTTTCTTTTATTACACCATATTTTAGCTTCAATAAAGTTGTAAGTTCGTGAAAGCCTCAATTTCTCAAGTAATTTAACTACATTTATCATAATATGGTTTATTTTCTTGGTCTTATAATGAAAATAACAAATATTTCTAATATTTTCTATATAAATTGCTTACTCATTGGATCGACTTGTTCCGACCCGTGACCCATGATAAATTACCCGACCTATCATGGGGTGAGTATGGGTATCGAGATACCCGCTCCGGAACTGCCCCATTGCCATTCCTAATTGTGAACTGTCATAGTCTCTGAGCACTTATGGCTAAAGAGATCATCACAATTCAAGTTTTAATCAAACATAATGTATTAATGTGGGCTCAAGATAGGGTATGCATCCATCAATAACCAAATATGGACCCTTCATTTAGAAATCCAGATCTAAGGATAGAGAATTAAAAGCCATTTTTATTTTCCCTAACTTTCTTAATTGACTCATATATTTTTCGTTTTAACTCGGATTTTAATTTTTTTTTGTTGCACACATGGAATGAGTTCATCGTGCTCTACAAAATGAGATCAATTATCAATATTTTTTTAGAAAAAAAATCTGGTCTCTCGGTACCAATTGCATATCATTTGGTATCTTCTTCGTTTTTAATTCGTTTTTGAAAACGTTTGCACAGCAGGGACGAGTTCATCATGATCTATTGGATCTACAAATTTCTGGGTGAACAAATTACAGGACCAAAAAATACCATACAATAACCACCCCGGTACGGGTGGTATCTTATGGTATACAATGTTAAAAGTCGCAAATGACAATTAATATACTTCTACTACCATGTATTCAACCATCCTACAGTTTTGGTTTGTGTCATACCACCATGGTACGCTTTTCAAACCATAGGTATGCTCTTATTTCAATACCAGTCAATACCATATGGTATAGACTGGTAAAAAATGGCTCAATTTTTTTTTTTTGTTCAAAAAATATATCAAAGTGGATATCATTTTGAAGAGCACAATTAATCTGATCTAATTGTGCAAAAAAAAATTAAATTAAATGTCGACTTAAAACGAGTGAGAAGTCGTCCGTCAAAGATTAAGGAGGGGAAAATTAAATGCTTTTCAAGAGAGAGTGAATGTTGATGTCATACTGATGTGGACGGGTTACTCGTGGTTACTCGCCATAAGGTTACTGACATGATCCGTTCCCATTAATGTGTGAGTTTTATGTAAATTTTTGGACCTCATATGTTGTTATGTACACTTACACTTACAAATATAGTATAAATACAAATACGATCTTTTTTTTTTACGAATCCAAAAGAGAGGAATATCATACTCTTGATTGGTTTGCAGAGTATTAAATACATGGTATATAATGTATTGGATATATGGTTCCAATTTTTTATTTATTCTATTGGTTAACCGTGTTTAGAACTAACTCATACACCCAAATAAAACAAATTATAAAATTTATATAAACCATACCAACTATCTAATTAATTGAACAAAAATATCCGAATACTATCGGTTAAACCCATATATGGAAATGTAGTTAATCAACGTCCAAATGAAAAGTCCATCAGCTACAATATATCATAGAGCATATATTTGGCAGGGTGGCAGTTTTTCATGGTGTTAAACTCGCTGTGTTTTCATAAATGATGGTTCTGAAATACTCAAAGGTGTAGTTAGAGATAGGGTTTTGGTGATGGCATCTTCCGCCTCCTTTAAACTCTCACGCAATCTGCTGCATATTCTCCTGCGATCCAAGCAAAAAGCATATTTGTCGGCTGACATGACATCCATAAAAAAGTGGAAGAATGCTTTCCCGAAACCATTTTGCAAAAGGGTCGACATTCAGTTTCGCACTTGCTGCACATTCTCCCTTTAATTTGTCTCTCCAGACTCTCCAGTTCCCTAGTTTCATCATCCAGTTTGTTGTCTCCTTCCACCATGAGAAGCAGAATTCGACCATTCACATCTTGTCTTGAATAAAAAATGTTGCAGTCCAACTTGAACACCACCACAAGCAAAACGACATAAATAACAACAATAACAACATAGTTCTCAACGGTATCCAAGTTTCAATCTCAGCCCCTCCTAACTCTCCGCCACAACTGCCGACAAGACAATAGATCAACCCCACATCTACAGGCTACAGCACTACATGTTCGGGTTTTTTACGAAAATCAATGGTAATGACTATTTATTAGCCAAACATTTTTTATATTTTTTTATTAGGCAAACCTATCGAAATACTAAAAATTAGTCAAACTCAACTTCTACCTCATCAATGAATAATATAAAAGTGGACACACCAATTATTAGCCAAACATTTATCGCATTTTTTATTATTAGCCAAACATATTGAATTACTAATAATTGATAAAATATTTTGTAATGCATAAAAAATAATAGCAATTTATATATTGTAACACTTTTCTTAGTTAAAATACTAAAAGTTTGGAACGTTGACCCTCCATGTATCTCTTCCAATTCAGTGTGATACCACCGTCTTCACCCTCATCTTTAACTCCAGTAACGGTTCTCGATCAAGGACTTGCCAAGCTTCAATGTAACAATTTAACATTTTAATTTTTGTTTTGCTTTAAAGTTCCAGACACAAAGTTGACGGTGAACCATACGAAGTTTAAGGTTGTTTACACCAAATGAAGTAAAAGAAAAGGAGCAGTATATAACCATTAGCAAAAGAAGTAGCAGAAACAGTACCACATCGCCGAGTAGATTATATGAAACAGGGAAAGTGGAGTACATAATCATCTGCAGGCCCAACGTGAAAAACTTATCTTTGCGCTTGGGGCAATGACGCAGCTAGTGAGGTAATAACCGAGGCGCGTCGATTGCTGGTTGAAAACTATTTCCAAACCCCCTCTTGGGCCGCGGCTTGTCCACGGCCCTCGAGAATTTCTGGAAGGGCTCCCTGAGGGGTAAAGCCCTACAATTTCCAAAGTCCAATCCTTTTTTCTCCTCACGGGCCTTCTTGAACCCCTCATATCTGGGCTCGATTTTATCTTTGGGCCTAATTCTTGTTATTGGGCCTTCGAATTTGCACTGATTGGCTTGTTGTGACGTAAAGCATAAATAAACCACTGCAGTTGATGTTGCAAATTATCACAGGATAGCAGTGCTTAGGTCGCAAACAATTGAGAGCGGTGATATCCGAACCAACTGGGTTTCTGTGCTTCAGCAGAGAACCAAACCAATTCCCCTTTTTAATGAATTGTGGCAGCAGCTGCAGGAGAAGCCAGCAGCAGCTGCAGGAGAAACCAACAGTAAGTTAGAGGTCTGACCAGATTCGGTCGATTGCTCGCCAACTTGTACAAACCCGGGGCAACTGCTCAAGCTCTCAATGCACAAACGTGAACAGAGGAACACTACCGAAAGTTCTGACTCGCTCCGTCGGTAGCAATCAGGGGTGTCCATTCGGGTTCGGTTTTTTGGGTTTACCTGAAACCGACCCGATTATATATATTTTCGGTTTTTCGGGTTCAGGTTCGTTTCAGGTTTCGGGTTCAGTTTTGCTTATCGATTTTTCGGATTCCGGCTAAAAACCTCCAATGAATAGAACTCAATATGTATTCTTAGGCGTTCAGGTTTTCGGGTTTCGGTTTTGCATTAACCGAACCCGAACCCGATAAGGACTTGCGGGTTCCGGACGCAAGTCCTTATCGGGTTCGGGTTCGATTTAAGTGATTTTCGATTTCGGATTTTTTCGGGTTTGGATTCGGATAACCGAACCCGACCCGAACTGACACCCCTAGTAGCAGCCAACCTCATCAAGCCTAATACCACTTAGCCCGATACCAAATAAACCACCCAAAGAATGGAAATCCCAAACGCACGATATGAAATATCAATCACGTGGGTGGAGAGGGATACTGGGAAGTGGAACTAGTTCCATTCTTCTGCAGCCTCTCTTGACTTGACTTTGGGGATAGAGCAAATTTACATTTTCTTTTTTCAGCAGAGGGCCAACAATCCTTGGTAGCGTGGTTTTCATCAATGGTTCACCCTTCTTGCTAATGGAATACCACATCGTTGGCAGACAAAGAGATCATCTACTGTCCCTGTCACAGTAGGCTATATAAACCAACTCTTAACTGGCAATGTCACTCCATGCAGCCTCGCAGTGAGTACATAGCGAACTATTCTTTCGCCTTTTACTAAAGAATACCGTGTATGCTCTGCACATAGAGGCATACATCAATTTTTGGAGGGGTTGTTCCTTAATTGGAGCTCCCCAACAATTTTTAGTTCTACAGTTTTCCATATTTTTTCTTTACCATATCCCTGAATTTCTATATTAATATGGGTTATATTCCTTGTCTTCTACACTCCACCTTCTTGTTTAAGGTAAGTTGCTTATAATTGAGATTAATTCACCTTACTGGTGCTGGAGATGGATTCTGTTCAGCCATTAGGGATCGTCAATATTCCTGATTATGACTAATTTCAATGTAAGAGGCCACATCATTGCCTCCTAGAGTGAAGTTGAGGCACTATGGCTCATTTTGGTGGTATACCGCATCGGTCAAAAAAGGGTCGCAAGAGAGCAACCTCTTTGCCGAACATGTGATAGATACCAACTCGAACTCGCCTCGTCTCGTCTTCTCAGTCAGCATTGCTATGAGTACATAACAAACTATTCTTATTTCTTTTATTAAAGAAATACCTAGTGCAGTTTTTTTCCCCCTTGAATCAATCTCTTCTTATCATATGGTTTCAAGTCTTGTGAAGTTGTGCTCTGGAAGCATTGCGTTCTTTTTCTTTCCTTCTTTCTGAATAATGTTAGCAATGATCATCAATCTGAAGCTATTATAAATTTGAGCTACTTTTATTCCTTCTTATGCATCTATTCTCATCTATTGTATTTTCCCACACTTTGGGAGGTGGGGGAGAGACTAGAGAGGATCAGAAACTGTTATTTGAATCAACAACAGAAGCCATGCTCGTAGGTCATGAAATGAATCACAAAGCACAAAGGGTTGTCTCAAGGCTAAAGGAGTTTCCCAGGAGGAATTACCACATCGGTTATCGACAGGAGCAGCACAGATATAATCCAACTCTAGCTTGCCTTTTTTTCAAGGTTGTCAAACTGGTTTATACTGTTGTGCCGGTTTGGCAAGTAAAATGGTATGACCGGTGGTATAACCAGTTTGTGCCGGTTCATGCCGGTTTATTAAAATGTGAAAACAATTAATATCCATTGTATTTAATCATATATAAAACATATTTGTGGACAATTTAGTTACAATCCAACAAATATCATCAACTTTTAACTATTACATTCATAAAATGAATAATAAATTATTTTTTTTTTATTTATTAAATTCATTAAAATGATGTTATTTTACTTAGAATGAGTAAGTCAATCATACCGGTGGTGTCATGCAGGTTTCACGACCGGTACAGGTTGAACCAGGTTCAACCGGGTGGCATGCCACCGACAAGACAACCATGCTCTTTCTCCTCACGTAGTCTTGCAGCGAGTACATAGCGAACTATTCTTTCGCCTTTTAGTCTTTTACTAAAGAATACCATGTACGTGTTGCATGAAGAGGCATACGTTATTTTTGGATGGTTGATCCTTAAAATTGGATTTGACCCAGCAATGCTAAGTTCAACTCTTGTAATTTTCCGTGCTTTCTGTTTCGAAATTGCCTGTTGCTTAAATATACTGAGTAGTATTTGAGTAGTCAAGGGGAGTCCAGAATCCCGACCCTTAAATATCAAGCAATTCGATGTTTTGTGTTTTCTGAAGATGAATGGATAATAGTGACGTTGATAGATGAAATATGGAAATGTTTACAAATCGTTCACAAATGACACTTATTAAATTTACATAACGTAACATTCTATGTAAATCGAAAAAACCCTTATCAATTTTGGGTCCGATTATAGTAAACCGAAACCGAACCAAATTCTCCAAGGGGAACCAAACGATGTTTCTTTGGGGCTAATGGGTTCCGGGTTCTTATCGGTTTCTCAGGTTAAACCGGAACCACTAACATGCCCTCGATTTGAAACCGCAAACCCGAAACCAAAAGCGTTATAACGGGACGGTTTCGGTTTAAACCAAACCAATACAGGTAGGCTTAATGTCTATATGCATTTATTTACCAACGATAAGCTTATAAGATGAGCTGTCTCTACTCTCTTCGCATTAGACTAAGAAAATCTTAAGAAAAAACAAAACATGATGAACTGAAACAACCTTCTCAATATCAACAACATACAATGATTTAGCGCATTCAACTCAACTGAAAAATATCCCAAATTCAAATGTAGTTTATAAATGATGGTGCGGTGAGGGGACGAAAAGGATTATTCACTAATATGAGTTGTTTTTTTACAGAGACGATGTCCAACCAAATGATGCGCTGCATGTAGAGGTGGCAATTAGGATCCAAATCCATGAATCCAATCCAATCCATCCACCAAATTATCCACTTAATCCAATCCATTTAAATCCAATCCATTTGATCCAAATCCAATTGGATTGGTGGATTCATGGATCAATCCATGGATCCAAATGGCAAATTACGATTTGGTACCTATATTTTTTACATTTTACATTTTGGTACCTAAAATTTATATTTTTATACGAAAAAAATCATTGAAAAATTACATTTTGGTACCTAAAATTTTTCATTATGACATTTTAGTACCTAAACTTTTCAAAATTTACATTTTGGTCCAAGCCTTGGATGTCATTTGGATTCATGGATCAATCCACCAATCCATTTGATCCAATCCATGAATCCACCAATCCATTGGATCCAATCCATTTGATCCATGAATCCACCAATCCGATCCAATTGCCACCTCTAGCTGCATGTATTATATTATCCTCTTCTATATATGCTTTGTTTGATCAGGCAACGTTTAGTTGCTTGACTGCTAGTTTAGTAGCGAATCAGCAACCTTTATTATTATTATTATTATTATTATTATTATTATTATTATTATTATATGTTTTGGTTATATATTCTCTGATTTTGAGAGATCTCTATCCCCGTGCGTGATTCAACTTGCACCCGACGGAAAGCGTATCACCTTCACCGCCACAAAGTCGTCTCTTTTTGTTTGAAGAATCGTCAAATAATTGCCATACCTTCCACAATGTCATATCTCCTGCCTAAAATATTCTGCAACATCACAGAAAGTCAAATATCATAATATTCTTATAAAAATACAAAATCAAGATAGCAAATATAGAATGAAATATGGTAAGATCTTTCCATAGCTAGGCAATCTCATAAGGAAATATAGACAACCCTAAAAAGGAAAAAGGATCATAGAAATAGTTCACAAAATGCTAAGTTACAATGTGCATGATAAACATCAGGCAGGGAGACGGGACTATTGATGAAAAATTACATTTTTGCTAACTAAATGGACAATCTTGATAAATCCCGCAGTAATAAAACAAAATAACAAACCAAGAAAAATGAAGAATAGATCGACCAAATTTCCTCCCACATCGCTTGTCAGAACATGTTGAACTATTAGTTGAGCATCAACACAAAAAGGAAACCACCGTGAACTCACGAGTTAAACACCACAATGCAACGTTGCACAATACAAAGTAATTCCGCCATAAACGAGTGTGTCAAGAAAAGAAATGCCGTAGAATATGTGCCTTGGACATATCGTACCATAACAACCATTTATTTACCCAAATTCATGCAATAACGAGACCCATTTAAGTAGTAGAACTATATGTTAATTACATAATTATAATTTATCACTTATCAACATGTGACGTGAGTATGCTTATCGTTACTGACGGTTGGTACGTTGCATACTACTAAGTTTTTCATGAATGAATAGTTTAGTTTTTTTTATAAGAATAATTTGGTTCTATTTTTGAGTATTTTTGCTGCAATGCTTGGAAAAGGAAAAGAAATGTCCCTCTTCAATGATATTCTAGGAAAAAGAAATGAAAAGACCCCAAGGTGAAAAAGAAACCCAGAAACCCGACCCGGTAAATAGTTCCTTCCTTCCTCCTGACCCGCAGCCACGTCAGGGAGGTGGAGCCTTTGCTTGTCATCTAGTTTAGTCAACAAGCACACACTGCTTTTTATAGCTTCAATCCACTCTTCTCTTCCGATCAAACCCACCCACCATTTTACCAAGATGAAGAACCACGGCGCTCCAAATCCTCCTTTGGCAATCCTCCTCTTCGCCCTCTTCACCCTTCTCCCGCTGAACCCAGCCGCCGGAGCCGCCCACGCCGGTCCCCTCACTTACCTCTGGCCTCTCCCCGCCGACTTCAATTCCGGCGAGCAGACCCTCTCCGTTGACCCCGACCTCGCCCTCGTCGCCGACGGCAACGGCGGCAAGTCGGCGATTATCAAGGACGCATTCGACAGGTACAAGGGGATCATATTCAAGCGCGGCGGCAGTGGCGGCAGGCGGTCATTGGGGTTGGAGAGGTTTGCTGCTGGTGGTCGGAAGGGGAAACGATCGGCGAGCTACGATGTTGCTGGGTTGAAAATCGTGGTGCATTCAGGGAGCGAAGAGGTAATGGAAAGCTTTTTTTTTCTCCGTGATTTTTGGAACCAATTGAATTTCTTTCTCCGAGCTTTCTTAACTCTGAGCTTGTTTTGCTACTGGGTTTTTTTTGGGAATGCAGCTTGCGCTCGGAGTGGATGAGAGCTACAAGCTATTTATAGGGAAGAGTGATGGGCAGTCCATTGTTTGGGAAGCAACTATCGAGGTAACAAAAAAGATTTGGACTTTCTCTGCTTTTGTTTGGCTGAGCTTTCCATGGTTTTGCGAAAGTGATATTTGGCCTAGATTTTGTCGAACTTTGTGGAGTTTGTTTGTTCTTTTTGGATGTGCTAGTGGTTTGATTTGGTGTTTCATCTCCTGCAGGCGAATACCATCTACGGGGCGTTGCGGGGTTTGGAGGTAAATCTATGGTTTTCCAAGTATTTTGTACCCAGCAATTCATATGATCTCTGTGTTTGGACTTGAACTTCAACATGTCAAGCGACTTTTTGTTGTGGTGGTGGTGGCTTGCAGACTTTCAGCCAGTTGTGTGTTTTTGACTATGGAACGAAGTCTGTACAAATACACAAGGCTCCATGGTTTATTCAAGACAAACCAAGGTTTAATTACCGCGGGATGATGATTGGTAAGTCGAGGAAATGAAGATGAATTAGGAGAACTTGTTGTTTCCATGATCTGGTCTGTTGCTAATATTTTGTTCTTGGCGCATCTCAGACACTTCGAGGCACTATTTGCCAATTGAGGTTATCAAGCAAATCATTGAGTCCATGTCCTATGCTAAATTTGTAAGATACAAGCTACTGGTTGTTGAGCTTGTCATTTGAAATTTGGATCTCCGAGAAGCTTGTGCTTCTATTGTCTTTTTTCCATCATCTACTAATTGGTTTTGCTTTCCATGCTTTGTTCTAATCCCGATGATGGGAATTGCATTCAGTAGAACGTCTTGCATTGGCACATCATTGATGAGCAGTCATTTCCTCTCGAAGTACCATCATATCCGAAATTATGGAAGAGTTCATATTCGAATTGGGAGCGCTACACTGTTGAGGATGCATATGAAATTGTTAAGTAAGATTCAAACTGCTAGTTCATGTCAATTTCACGATGTCACTGGGAAATGGAAGGGAAAAGATGAAGTCAGACTCCATCTAAGTAAAGAGATAAATCTGGAAAAAGTTGCTTCCAACAGTTACAGATCTGGGTATAAAGTAACTGTTGACAGCAAAAAATCGCCCAATGTTATTTATTTCTCTTTGGCCTAATGCTTAGTATTTATACGTTTGTTCCTAGTTTGTTTCTTCATCTCGTTCTTGTGCTGATATCTCTCCCTGTTTTTGGTTGGTCCATGACAAACTTGAAGCTTTGCCAAGTCCAGAGGTGAGTCTCATTTCCATAGTTTGAAATTTTTTGGAATTAGATATTGTGAAGGAGATATTGAAACAATTATTCCTGCTGCCTAATTGTGTCTTTCCATATGATGCAGGCATCAACGTAATGGCAGAAGTAGATGTCCCTGGGCATGCAGAATCATGGTAATGGAATTATTTTTATCACTAGACAGTTCACCCCTTTTGTTGTGACACTAAACTGCATAAGGGTTTCCAAGTGCATGTGCGTTAACATCGAAAGGAATCTGAACATGTTTTATGAGGAAGAAGAAAAAGGACCGAACTTTCAGATGTTCATTTGATTATTCTGAAAAGTCTTATCTGATATAAGTCTGCTCCGAATGTGATAATAGTTTAACTCATGATGTCCAATTATGCAGGGGCGTCGGGTATCCTGATCTTTGGCCTTCTTCCTCATGTAGAGAGCCACTGGATGTTACAAAGAATTTTACCTTTGATTTGATATCGGGGATGCTGTCAGGTTAAGTTTTTATTCCTTTTTCTCTACCTTAGTTGGATGTGCTGATCTTTAGCATTCTCGTTCTAACTGTGCCTAGTTCTGTCATTTTGGCTACTCTGTATGCTGTGTGCATCTCTTGACTATGTGCTTTTTGTATTCTATCTCCTTACTAAAGTTCTTCCTCACAACTTTTGCCATTTTAGACATGAGGAAAATTTTCCCTTTCGGCCTCTTCCATTTGGGTGGTGATGAAGTTAACACAGGTTAGTGTGGTGACTTACGTTCAAACTGAAAAAAAGACATATCAAAACTAAAAAAACAAGCTTGCCATTAAGAATATTATTGTAGTTGAATCTCCTTTTGTTAGTCAAATAACTTTGAATTCTGGAATCAAACTGGGGTTTTCACATTTTACAGATTGCTGGAGTTCCACTCCTCATGTTAAGAAATGGTAGATTCCTGAACTTCCAGCCAACTGTTGTACAATTGGATTGTATTCGAATGAAGCATACTGCCCATTTTATCAATATGCCATTACTTTCTTGAAAGTTCACTCCCCTAATGTGTAGGCTTGCGGAGCGGAACATGACTACAAAAGGTGCATATGAGTATTTTGTACTCAAAGCTCAAGAAATAGCAATATCAAAAGGTTGGATCCCAGTCAACTGGTAAGATCCTATTTCCCAGGAAATTGAACCCCACTGTATTCTGTAGTTCCATAATGTTGGATTCCATGTTCTAACATATTAAATCTCAACTTCTATCTCTCTCCCAGGGAAGAGACATTCAATGCATTTCCATCAGCCCTCAACCCAAAGACCATAGTGCATAATTGGTGGGTTTTGTTTGTATACTGCAAAGAATTTCCAACTGTGACATGAGTTCAGGCAACACTCTCTCAAGTCTCAATCACTAAAGAAATTGGGTTTGGGTGGCACAGGTTGGGTGGAGGAGTTTGCCCAGCGGCGGTTGCTAAAGGTTTTAGATGCATATTTAGCAACCAAGGTTTCTGGTACCTTGACCACTTGGATGTTCCTTGGGAGGATGTTTATACAGCTGATCCAGTTGAAGGGATCCATGACGCCTCGAAGCAAAAGCTTGTCATTGGTGGAGAAGTTTGCATGTGGGGCGAGACTGCTGATACCTCCGATGTCCTGCAAACAATTTGGCCGCGAGCTGCTGCTGCTGCCGGTATGCCCCTAAACTCGCAAACTCATAAAATGCACAATTTTTTGTCTTAACCCGCCAAAATGGCCTGAACCTGAAGCGTTCCAGTTTCGACTCAGCTTATTCTTGAACTATATTGACATCATTTATGTTATCCAACCTTTGTCCAGAGCGGTTATGGAGCAAGAAAGAGGACATATCTGGGAACATTACGCTAACCGCATTACCCAGATTGCACTACTTCAGATGCCTACTGAACAGGCGTGGAGTTGCAGCTGCTCCAGTCAATAACAAATATGCTAGGCAGCCTCCAACCGGCCCTGGTTCATGCTATCTGCAATGATCCCATGTGGAGCCGTCGTGCATTTTATGAAAGGATATCGCTACAACAATTCTAATGTTTGTGAAAATTCCATTTGTTCAAGATCATCTTCTTGTTCTTGTTGTTGTAATTTATTCATTAACCAAGATCATCTTCTTGTTCTTGTTGTTGTAATTTATTCATTAACGAATCGGGTTAACCAGTTTCTGCTCCTTGTTTACCCACCTTCCATCTGAATCACCATTGTCACCTCCCAACTATGTGCTCCACTCTGCTAAATTCCATCTAACTGGTGTTGGATTTTCTGTAAATGTCTGGTTTGGTAATCAGTAAAGGTGACAAGTGGGTGGGACATTTGAGTTGATGGTCAAATTTTGGTACTGAGCTAACCTGTCTACTAATCCAGGAAACAGGATATTGAATAATTGATGGACTGTGGCCAATCCATCTTAATGGGATTCTTTCAAATCCGGTGTTTGGCTGATGAGATATTACTTGAATTGGGTGCGAAGTATTTACAAAACTAAGGATCCATATATAAGTTAAGAACTTGTAAATAGTAATCAATCATAAATTTCGAAGAATTCGTATTATTAAGGATCTTAATCTTCTGAATAGTTGGATGTGAATACTTTCTCAGTTTCTTGTTTAATTATGATATCCGGAAAAATTCACAACTTATTAGAAATACTTTTGTACCTATAGCATCTTCTTACCATGGTTTCAACTTTCAAGGGTCCTACCATTTTGCTTGTGATGATTATTGGAAAAGCACTATCAATCTCAATTCCCATTATTGGTTTGATCCTCTAATTTGGATAAGGCCAGTTGTTTTATGAAATTTAGTTAAAGATGGTCATTTTAGCAATAGAGTTATTCTGCTAACTGCATAAGTTGTTAGTAAATACTTATTAATATCCAAAATGTATGAATTAGTGTCCAAATATGCTAATTTTACTAAAATATCTCGATAGCACATACTAGTATTCAAAACATCACAAAACTAGTATCCAACTCACATAATTAGTATTCAACCAATCAATTACCAACTAATATCCCCAATCAAACCAACTTGTATTCAATATGGATATTCTTATATGTTATCTGGATACTCTTATGTGTTTCTGGATACTAATTATGTGTTGTATGGATACTATTCTGTGTTGTCTAGATATTAGTTTGTGAATTTGGGATAGTAGTTGATTCATGGAGAATATCCGTTAGCAAACCTTGAATACTAGTCTGTGCTCTCTAGATGTTTTAGTACTTGGATACTAGTTCATGTATTTTGGATATCAGTTAATATTTGCTAACGAATCTTCAAGTTAACAAATTAACTTTTTTCGCATTTTAGAGTTCATATACGCGTAATATAGTAGCACTTTTTTTTACCATAACATAATTCACAAATGAAAATGAATTAGTTGACTATTTTCGTTCCATGACTCATATTGTTGGTTATTATTCACGATATGTAAAGTATTTTGAAAACTTAAAATGTAGAGTGGATTCTACTTGATGTGGAATAGAGTAATAAAACAAGTTTCTTTAATGTTTGGATAAGATATTATGATTTTAGATAATTGCTTGCTTGGTATGGTTACTTGTAGTTAGAGCCAGTTGATTTTTACTATTGATTGGTAGATACACGTTGTTATATTATCAGATCAATTAAAATAATTAACATGCTTATCGACCTCATTTCAATGAACTAATTGACCTCAAACTTTTTTTTTTTTTATAACCCAGGAATCTTAACCCCACGTGCTACTTTGTGATAGCGGGGTCTACCAAACCTGGGGAGCACCTGTACAAGACACAATATCAAGGGACTTCGTCCCCGGCACTCAAAGGTGCCTCCGGGAACACACAAACGGCGCCGCTGGGGATCGAACTCAGAATCTCTCACATCCTGAGCCAACCAGATCAACAGTTTCACTAGCTAGGCTATATTACCTTTGGCTAATTGACCTCAAACTTCAAATCACTTTACACGAATTAGGACATTATTTTTTATTTTCCAAAATGTCTAGATTAACTCCTATGGTTTCACACTTGTTGAGCAAAAGATTACTAATGCGACCTTCAATTCAGGCTCGTGATTAAACTTGAATTCACCATTGTGCTCCTCATACTATTCCAACTTATCCTCATGTATGGGTCAAATATTGAAGTGATAGTATTTTCATCTATCTTGGGAAAAAAATTAAATGAGCTATGCAGAAAAAAATATCATAAATTTTGTGATAATTTTTTTTCTCCATGAATAGTGATTTTCATTTGGAAAGTTATTAACCAAACATTTGACCACAAAAAATTCTTCAATTGCCTGATTTCTTTCCTTTTTACTTATTTATGACACATTACTTTTCATAATCACTTATATATGTCATTTTCTTTATTGGTATTGCACACCTACCATCTCAAACTTTAAGAAAAGTTCAATATATGGCAGCAAAATGAATAAGTTTTAATAACTTCGATTTTTTCTAGTTGTCATGGATATTCTTATTCATGGTTGACTGTTTGGAGGAAATTGCTTTCTCGAATTAGGTTAAAAATATGGATCTTTTTCCACCCAAGAAAGAAAAGTTAATTTACATTTCTATCCAAAGGGTGAAACATAATAAGAATATAATGATAATCAATCACAATGCTGAGTTAGAAATCTTAGACACAACATCTAGTGAAAATTTGAGTTAATTATGTCAATGCTATCATACTAGTACTACTAATAGTCATTGGCATGATAGATCATATTGAGTATTTTTTTAAAAAAATATGCGCTAATGAGTTAAAATTATTCAATGTCTAAAATAATTAAGGTGAAATAGTGCAAACGGTTTGTTGTACCGTGTGAATACGACAACAAAAACACATACATATCTTTATCAATTTCGTAAATCTCACAACCTTTATAACTTCAACCATCATTGTATCAGTAAAATTTAGGTACCATTGTACGTTTTACCAATTTGTAAAGGGTGTAATCTAGAATGAACTTAAGTATTTTGATACTAAAACTAGAATTTGATGGTCGTATCGACGGTTACATCGATCCACTACTACAAATGATGAAGATTTTTTTCTAGACTAATCAAATATCATATAGCTAAAATCCTAAAACCTATGATATCAAAATAGAAAATGAATGATCAGATCCATCGTCACATGCATCGGTATACTTAATAAAATATCTTTTACATAACATATAAAATTTCATTAATCTCAAATCCGTTAAATTAGGACATAGTCTAATAGGATCGATGATAAAGTACGATGACACGATGATTTATTGCCCTATATTTGCTTAATTGTTCTTGAGAAATCTTATAATTGAGTAATAACCAATACCAATATCAAATGCAAATAAACAAAAAAAGGGTTAATTTGGTAAAATCAATGCGGTAAAAAAAAATGAGAGAAGGGAAATAAAAGGGGCAGTGGAAACTGAAAATGACTGCAACTGCTCCTTTTTTTCTTTTTCCCTCTTTTCCTCCATCACCGTCTCCTTCTCCCTCAGCTCTTCACTCTCTGCCTGACCTCTCAAATCTTCTCCAACTTTCCTTCATCTCCCGCTTCATCGGTTCATCACCACCTCTGCTTCTCTTCTCGCCGTGGCTTCTTCGACCGTCTCTACTCTCTCTGTAAGTTCCAAATCTCCGAATTCCTTCACTTCCTTCATGCTCTCTCTCTATATCTGTCTATGGCTCGATACAGTTCTGCGCTTCATGAAGAACCCTAGATGAAAGTTTGGAATCCTTCTGATTCGGTGCTCCTTCTTTTTTTTGGTTTCTTGTCCGGGGGTAAACTGCAGTTGGTTTTTGTTTGAAATCTGAATTCAAAGACTCAAAGTCTAAAGCTAGGTTTTTTCGTCCATCCCATTTTCTTGGCCTTCCAGTGGCTGTGCTGCGAAATATTTGTATTGATGTTGAGATATCTTTTTAATTGATTTTTCTCTCCTTCGGGTGGAAGTTTAACGGTCCCTGTTCCCCTTGCAGTGACACTCTGTGGGGAAAGTTGGGCAGCCTTGATCTGGTATGCACTTTCGTTTCTCACCTTCTGGTTAGGCCGTCCTTGCTGAATCTTCAGTAGTTTGGAAAGAGTAGTCATAACCGGAGGTATTAGGGGTCCAGATTTCTGGGTCTGGTTCGAATCTTACGTTTGGTTCGCCTCTTATAGTGAGTGGGCATGGTGAAAAAAGAGGATGGCCCCAGTAATTCTCTACCCCCGTGCCAAATTCCACCTGCTGGTGGGCGCAAAGTGTTCTGGCGGTCAGCATCCTGGTCCTCTTCCAGGACAGGGCTCCAAAATCCAGGAGGTGAGCAGACAGACACTGTCATGGATCCTAATGTTGGTGGTGGTGAAGTTGGACAAACCCGGAGGTATCCTGCCCCCTTGACTCCACGCTCTCAGCACAACAGTAAAGCACGGGCCTGCTTGCCTCCTTTGCAGCCGTTGTCCATTGCCCGGAGGAGTTTGGATGAGTGGCCTAAAGCTGGTTCAGATGATCTAGGCGAGTGGCCAATGCCGTCAACTCCTAGTGGCAACAAGACTGGTGATAGATTGAAACTTGATCTCTCATCAATTGAGAAAAGCCAGGATAGAACTGCTGGATCAGTGAAGAGGGATAGGATTGCTGTGTTTGATAAAGAATGCTCGAAAGTAGCAGCACATGTGTATCTTGGAGGAGATGCTGTGGCTAAAGATAAGGAGATTTTGAAACAGAATGGGATTACCCATGTGCTGAATTGCGTTGGGTTTGTTTGTCCTGAGTACTTCAAGGCTGACTTTGCTTATAGGACACTGTGGCTGCAGGATAGTCCTTCAGAGGACATAACAAGCATTCTATATGATGTCTTTGATTATTTTGAGGATGTCAGGGAACATGGTGGGAGGGTTTTTGTGCACTGTTGCCAAGGTGTTTCACGGTCCACATCATTGGTAATAGCATATCTTATGTGGAGAGAGGGTCAGAGTTTTGATGATGCATTTCAATATGTTAAGGCAGCAAGAGGAATCGCTGACCCAAATATGGGTTTTGCTTGTCAGTTATTACAGTGCCAAAAGAGGGTTCATGCTTTTCCTCTGAGTCCAAGTTCATTGTTAAGGATGTACAGAATGGCCCCACATTCGCCTTATGATCCTCTCCATCTGGTTCCCAAAATGCTGAATGATCCTGTACCATCTGCTCTTGATTCTAGAGGTGCCTTTATACTTCATATACCCTCCTCAATATATCTTTGGATTGGTAAGAATTGTGAAGCCATAATGGAAAGGGATGCAAGAGGTGCTGTTTGCCAGATTGTCCGTTACGAGAGGGCTCAGGGTCCAATAATAGTAATAAAAGAAGGAGAAGAGCCAGCATACTTTTGGGATGCATTTTCAAATTATTTACCTCTCATGGATAAATCTCGCAATGGAGTAGATGCAGAATCTTCTAAGATTTCCCCTGGGGACAGGCGAGTTGATGCTTATAATGCTGACTATGAGATTTTTCAGAAGGCTACTAAGGGTGGTTTTGTTCCTCCTGTTTCATCATTTGAGAATGGAACCCGGCTTTCTGCTAGAGAAAGTAACTGGAGTATGCTCAGGAGAAAGTTTGCCCCTGTTGATATGAAAGAGTTTGCCTCTGCCCCCAGGATATTTCTCTCTCGTGTATATTCAGACTCTATGATGATTGTCCATTCATCATCACCTTCATCAGCGTCATCGTCTTCACCTCCTTACTCCTCTCCAGATTCGACCACCTCTTCTGATTCTATCTCTAGCTCAAACTTCACTGAGTCCTCTCCCGGTTCTCCTTCGGTAGCTTCATATTCTCTGCCTGTGGCTTCTACTTTGTCCAACTTTTGTGACTTGACTGTTGCACCATCAACCCAACTGTCTCTTAACAGCCATGGGTCTCACGATCATGGCGTAATTGCTCCATCTCAAATGAGTTCTCAGGTGGCGTCTTCACCATCCAGAAGACCTTCACTTGCAGAGCGTAGAGGTGGCTTGTTAAAATCCTCGAAGTTGCCAATGACGTCTGAAAAGGCGGCCAGTGTGCCAGCTGGTTCTCGTTCAAGCAAAGATGGTACCAGGGTAGATAACAATGGGTTCTCTTGGTGTGTTTCAGATAGTCTAGAGATCGTTTTAGAGTCTAAAGATCAAGATAAACGAGTGGAGTTTTCAACTCAGGTGGCATCTTCGCCATCCAGAAAGTCTTCACCTTCGCTTGCAGAGCGTAGAGGTGGCTTGCCAAAATCTTTGAAGTTGCCAACGACGTCTGATAAGGCGGCCAGTCTGCCAGCTGGTTGTCATTCAAGCAAAGATGGTACTAAGTTAGATAACAAGGAACCCAGCCTCATTAATAATTGTGATAAATCTGGTCACAAGCAATCTCACAGTGAAGCAATTGAGAGTTCCAGGGAGGAAGTAGTGTCAGCAGAGTGTGGCTATGTACAACCTCTTGCATACCGCTGGCCCTGTTTAGAGAGGATTTCACCATTCAGCAGGAATAGTTTGAATAGTAATGCAGCATTTGGAGTACTTATCCCAGCTTCAAAATTGGATAGGGATGCAAGGAGGATTCTGTACTTTTGGATAGGAAAGTCCTTTTCTTGTGGTAAGAGTTTGATTCAGTTAGAAGGTAGCCAAGAATATGTGGATGCACGGGATATTGACTGGGATCTGGTTGGTAGTAATTTTTTAACTCGTGTTGGACTTCAAATGGACGCTCCCATCAAGGTATGATATGGCTGTATCTCAACTAATTTGTTACTCATCATTGTATTTGTGTTAGGGTTGCTTTAATCTTCCACCCTAGTCAGTAGACCCAAGTTGAAATGAGATGAAAGCTCCCGTACGTAGTTCTCAGATCATCAATGTCTACTGCATATGAAAAGTAGAACCCTTCCAAAGACTATAATAAGCTTGGCACCCTGGTCAGTTAAGGTAATTTCCTTAAGAACTGTCTAAAGGACATGACCATTGAGATGTTGTGCACATAAACATAGAAACTTTTGACACATTAGTGGAGAGCGTTTTTAATATTACAACTTTAAATGGTAACCTCTACATTTGAAGGCAGATTTGTTGGTCATGCCATCTATAGACTCTGCTTTGATGAGTTCATGCACATGAAACCTAGATACACGCATTCATGATACCGCAGTGAAGTAAACTGATTCGAAGCTGTAGACTTTCTGACTGGAATAAGCTTTCTTGAGGCTGGCAGTGCAACATGGTTAAATCTGCGTTACATATGTTATTGAATATTGATTTCCCCTGTTTCCTGGTGAATTTCTTGCTGCTGCTCTTTTCTTGTTTCCCGCTCTTTATTTCATGTGGACCGCTTACAATTCTTTCTGCCTTAATTGCACAGGTGCAAGTGGTTAAGGAAGGAGAGGAACCAGCAGATTTTCTTGCTATGTTAGGTAGTGACTTGTAGCACATCGTGAAGGTGATGAGCAATCAATTAGCATAACTATTCGATTTTCTTCTGCGGAATGCAATTTTTTTGAGGGACAAGGTATCTGGAAATAGTTTGAACTCCAGCAGCTAAAACCATGAGGTAACAAGGCATCATTTCCCCTATAGTTCTTGTGTCAAATCTCCCTTGACGCAACTATCGCTGGTTCTATACTCGCTAGTATTCATTTATTTTCAGCGGCTTTTGCTGGCAGTCTCTTAAAGCATTATAAATCTACTTGTTTAGACTTTTTCTCAACTTTACTGCCGATAGAGAGAACCATAGAAGACCATTACTAGGTTTCTTGCCAGTAGCCTTTGGTGGATATTGTTAGGTGCCCTAGTGAATGCTGAACTTCGGTTCTGAATCTGATATCTCTGTGGTCTGCTGTTTCTGTAGGTGTGCTAAGCAGCAGCAGCGACAAGTTGATATCCGGTCTTTGTTCTAACTGCCTAATGCCGCCCTGGTTGGATGTGTACAGTGGTATAGCTGCGGGAGCTTGTCCTCTTGGTTAACTGCTTCTGTAATTTGCCCTCTCCTTAAACGACAGCAGACATGTTTCCTTGCCCATGGATATTCCCTTGTTACAGAACTGTTATATTAGACGCTTTTCTGATTAGAAACAAAAACCAAGGATATAACCGAAAACCCAGATTCGATTTCTGTAAAAGACTTATTTTTTGTCCCTGTTGCTGCTGCTGATCAAATAAACTTTTAACATCTTTTTTCTATTCACTGTTTCTGAACTTGTACATTGTCAATTTGCATCCTTAAGCTCTGTATGGGTTCTGAGTTGACCCGAAATTTCTTGACTTAATAACCGAGTCATCGAGCTGAAGCCCAACCTGTGCTTTCGTGGCTGGCTTCTGTTTCTTTCTTGGCTAGAAATTCGGATGAGATCCAAACCGAACAGCTGAATACCTATCTATCCGGAAAAATCACAGCTTTCCTCCCGTCACTAGATTCGAACGAATTAATGATTTATTAAAGGGCTACTTCCAAGTTCCAACCCAAAGGCAGAGTTGCTTACTCTCTCCAACAATGGCGGCCGCAGCAGAAAGGAAGATGAAGCTGAAGCTGCTGGTGGACAGGAAAGCCAACAAGGTGATCTTCGCTGAATGCGGGGACGAATTTGTGGATTACTTATTCAGGCTCCTTTCGTTTCCCATCAGCCGGATCGTCGAAATCGTCTCGAAGGAATCCATGGTGGGATCTCTGGGCAACATTTACCAAAGCAGGGAAGATCTGAAGCCGCCATCTTGTTCCTACCCCTATGGGTACGCAAATCCAGGTTTCATCCCCACTCTGTTCACCAACCCGCCTCTTTTGTTGCCACACTATCCCCCTGCTGCTTTTGCTTCCTTCTTGGGCGGAGGCGGCCTTGTGAGGGAACAGAATACTTTCACGGTGACGGATGATCTGAAGGTGAGTCGATCGTCGTCGTCCGTGGTCTCTGGTATCACTCTGCTCAACAAGCTTGGTTGCAGGGATATTGGCGCACTAGAAGAAGAAGAGGTTGAGTTTGGAAATCCTGAGGTAAGAATTTAGTCGTACATGATCATTATGCTTTGTTCTGTTTGTACTAGTCTTGGAATTCTGAATGATAAGCTCTAGGGCACCTCTCTTTGTTTTTATTATCACTTCAGATGGCGGTTCATCATATCTTCAAATATGAGATTAGTCTATGTTTCTATCAAACAACTGAGAATAAGTTGTTGTTATGCTTGATATAAATGGGTTCAGCATATGTTGATGCCGCGAGATTGCTCATGTGGGTGACATCGTTTATGTCTAACCACTCGTACAACGTTATATATATAGTTGAACTCGATCTAGTGGGGTAGAAACTATTTGACGAGAACTTGTGACACATTAGCGGTAATAAGCATACATCAAAGTGTAAAGTTTGGAACTTTTAACAACATGGTTGGATTTGATCGCAGGCTCGGGAGTTGTTGAAGGCATCTCTACACTCGAAGCGAGTTTTGACGAATGTATATCTCGTGAAGGAGTGAACACGCATTGACGCCATGGCCGTTCGTGGCAAGAGCCGATCCAAATAAGATGTTGATGTTCAAGCACTCCTGTCAGGGTTAGGGTATGCATGAAGTGGAAGAGTAAGTCTTAGACTTTTGTCTTGTCATTTTGATGGAATGAATCAACTAGAGGAACAACATTGGTTGTGTTATATTTCTGTACTGCTGTTTCTCTTCTATGTTCTATCAATTACAAAATCAAAAGCACTGCAATATTCTGGAAAAGAACGTAACAGGCGCCAGCCAGCATGATCGATGATGTTGTAGAGCAGGAAACGAAACAGGGGAACTAAAGTGTAATGACTAACAGAAATAGAGCAATGATAAACTCGGACAAGTCGTCAGTGACCCGATGAATCAGTGTACTTTAACTCGCTAGTATGAACTCCAGCTGGTTTTTTGAAGGGCAAGGTATCTGGAAATAGTATGAACTCCAGCAGCTGGTTTTTTGAATCCGTATCGGGTTCAGACTTCAGAATGAAACTGAATCGGATAGAACGAGATCAATGGAATCCAAACCAAATTTGGTTATACTTGATCCCTCCTGATTCGATCTGATTTGATTCGGCTGGAAATTCGAACAGCTTGATAATTAATTAATTATCGATCCGAGGAAAAATCAAAACTTTCCCTCTATGAATTAACAACTTATTACAGGGTTACAAATACGGCAGTGATTTACTCTCTCTACTGTCTTTACGAAAACGTAAAACCAAAAGGCAGTTGCTTGACAATGGCGGCCGCAGCAGAAAGGAAGATGAAGCTGAAGCTGATTTTCGCTGAAGGCCAACAAGGTGATTTTCGCTGAATGTGGGGAAGACTTTGTGGAATTCTTATTCAACCTCCTCTCCTTACCCGTCAGCCGGATCATCGAAATCATCTCGAAGGAATCCATGGTGGGATCTCTGGGCAACATTTACCAGAGCATGAGAGATCTGAAGCAGCCATTTTGTTCAAACCCTTTTGGAAACAACAATTCAAGTTTCAGCTCCACCACCAACATGCCTCTCTTGTTGCCACAGCCTTCCCCTGCTGCTGCTGCTGCTGGATTGTCGTTGGAAGGCGGGCTTGTGAAGGAACAGAGTACCTTCATGGTGATGGATGATCTGAAGGTGAGTCGATTGTCCGTTGGCTCTGGTCTCACTCTGCTCAACAAGCTTGGTTGCAACGATCTTGCCGCGCTAGTAGAGGAAGAGGTTGAGTTTGGACATCCTGAGGTGAGATTTAAGAACCCGTTATACATGATCATTATGTTTTGTTCTGTTTGTGCTAGTCTTGGGATTTTGAATGATAAGTTCTAGGGCTTGTTTTTATTGTCACTCCAGATGTTATTTATGCTGATATGGTGGTTCATCATATCTTCAACTACTGAGATTGTTTATGTTTCTATCGAACAACCGAGAACACGTTGTTGTTGTTGTTGTTGTTGTTATTGTTGTTACGGTGATATATATGAGTTCAGCATATATGTTGATGCCACGAGATTGTTCAAGTTTGTGACATCGTTTCTGTCTAACCGCTACTATAACGTTATATATAGCTGAACACGATCGAGTCGGGTAGAAACTATTTGACTAGAACCTGTGAAACATTAGTGGTAAATAAGCATACATCAAAGTGTAAAAGTTTGGAACTTTAACATTGTTGGATTGATGCGCGCAGGCACTGGAGTTTTTGAAGGCATCTCTGCACTCAAAGCGAGTTCTGACGAATGTATATCTCGTGAAGGAGTGGGCACTTCTCGACGCAATTGCAAGTCGTGCCAAGAGCCAATCTAATAAAGAAGATGTAGATGTTGAAGCACTTCTGTCAAGGTTAGGGTTTGCTTGAAGTGACAGAGTAAGTTTAGACTGTGTCTTGATGGAATGATTCCAATGGAGGAACAATATTGGGTTTGTTATGTTTCTGTGCTTTTTTCTCTTCCATGTTCTATCTACTAGCGCTACGAAATCGAAAGCATTGCAATATTCTGGAAAAGAAAGTATAAGGCAACAGCCAGCATGATCGATAATGTTGCAGAGCAGGAAACGAAACAGGGGAAACTAAACCTAAATCTTGTCCACTTGAGGCTTCAGAAACACGATAGTGAGACCACCAACTTCAACTTGCTTGTTGAGGTCGCCATATAATAAGATTACCAAAAAAAGACTCATCACTTCCCTTAACAAACATATTGTGATCTGACTATCCAATGTAGAAATCAACATGAAATACCACCACAGACAACTCACCTATTTCAAATCACATAGAGATTAGTTTTTTTTACGGTAATTCATATAGAGATTTGTTGCGTAAGAATATATGATATGAAACTTATTCGGGTGTCTGCTATCCCCACGGTATCTACATAAAAAAAAAATCATCCATCCAAATCAGTATTTAGGAAAGCATCACTCTCACCTAGGGGTGGAAATCGGTACGGTATCGGTATCCCAATACCAAATAACGAAATCCCGAATACCGAATTACACCCTAAAGTCAATCCCAATCCCTAAATAATTTCGGTATCCCAATCCCAATCCCTAAATGTTTCGGTATCCCAATCGGTACTTGGGTATCCCAATCGGTATTATCGAATACAAAATTAATTACCTTTGCAATTAATAATTAAATATATAAATTAGATTTTATTGTTTAATTTAGGGGGAAAAGACTAAGCAAAGAGTCTTGAATTATGATATGATTAAGGAGAATGGAGGAGAGGAGACATCTCAAGTTCTTGTCATTGGTAATCGTTAATTTGACGAATTGGAGGTTGAGAGACGAGTATTAATAGTGATTGAATGATATATGTATAATTAAATGACACTCTTGGTGGCTGAGGGTCGTGTAGTAGTGAATGAGATAGTCTAGTTGAGAGGATGACATACACACTACCTTATATTTCGGTATTAATTGATATTTCGGTATATACCGATCCCAATCCCGTAATCCTTAATACCGAATAACAATTGAAATTCAATCTCAATCCCAATTCCAAAAAATAATACGTATATTCGGCAATACCAAATATAAACAAATTCGGTACGATATTTGGTATATCCCAAATACCGGTACCAAACTTCCAGCCCTACATAACAGGTCCATGTACCAATTCCTCATAATTCCAACTATTAACAAAGCCCCAACTCCCAACCGTGTTAGTTTAACAAATTGTGTGAGAAGGTTTATAAGAAATTAATCCCTCGTGTTTGTGTTAAGCATTGGCAACCTTATGTCTTTAAATAGTTCCATCGGAATTAAAAATTACCTTAAAAATTCTAGGCAAAATACAGCAATATATCCACAACTATCAGGTTTGTGACAAATATATACACAATTATCGAAATACACGAAATATCCATTTCCGTCCACTCCGTTAACTCCATCAGTTAACTTGATGACTGTACAGAAGGTGGATGCTTAGTTGACGTGTTTCTGACCCCACTAAATGACGTGGATTAAAAGAGGGAAAAAAAATTAGGCAAAATACAGTTGTATATCCACAACTATCATGTTTGTGACAAATCTATCCACTTTCGTCTAAAACTATAACGACGTGTCAGACGACGTTAAGTTGACTAACGGAATGCTAAATCGATGCCATTTCACCTGCCATATAAGCCAAAAAGCAACCAAACTTTACACCGTTATCTGTTAGACATCGCTGCTGCAGTCTTTTCTGTTGGCGATTTGGTTAGATTCAAGCCTTTTTTGTTTGAGATTCAAGCTTGGTACACCATGGCGCCGACTGCATGGAACCTGTTAGATTAAAAGGGAGGCAATGGTTGGGGATTGTGGTTGGAATAGAAATCTGGGCTTGGGGTAGGGTTATTTGGGGGTGGAGGCGTCGATCAGAGGAGGATCAGTGGTTATCGGGCATGTTTCTGGTTTGGATTTTTAGTCTTGTCGTCTGTAGTTTTTAGGGTTTTTAAATTTTTTTCTCTTTTAATCCACGTCATTCAGTGGGGCCAGAAACACGCCAACTAAGCATCCACCATCTGTCCAGTCATCAAGTTAACTAACGGAGTTAACGGAGTGGACGGAAATGGATATTTTGTGTATTTCGATAGTTGTGGACAGAAGGTGGATGCTTAGTTGACGTGTTTCTGACCCCACTAAATGACGTGGATTAAAAGAGGGAAAAAAAATTAGGCAAAATACAGTTGTATATCCACAACTATCATGTTTGTGACAAATCTATCCACTTTCGTCTAAAACTATAACGACGTGTCAGACGACGTTAAGTTGACTAACGGAATGCTAAATCGATGCCATTTCACCTGCCATATAAGCCAAAAAGCAACCAAACTTTACACCGTTATCTGTTAGACATCGCTGCTGCAGTCTTTTCTGTTGGCGATTTGGTTAGATTCAAGCCTTTTTTGTTTGAGATTCAAGCTTGGTACACCATGGCGCCGACTGCATGGAACCTGTCAGATTAAAAGGGAGGCAATGGTTGGGGATTGTGGTTGGAATAGAAATCTGGGCTTGGGGTAGGGTTATTTGGGGGTGGAGGCGTCGATCAGAGGAGGATCAGTGGTTATCGGGCATGTTTCTGGTTTGGATTTTTAGTCTTGTCGTCTGTAGTTTTTAGGGTTTTTAAATTTTTTTCTCTTTTAATCCACGTCATTCAGTGGGGCCAGAAACACGCCAACTAAGCATCCACCATCTGTCCAGTCATCAAGTTAACTAACGGAGTTAACGGAGTGGACGGAAATGGATATTTTGTGTATTTCGATAGTTGTGGATATATTTGTCACAAACCTGATAGTGGTGGATATATTTGTCATAAACCTGATAGTTGTGGATATACAACTGTATTTTGCCTTTATTCAACTAGCCTATTTGGCATCTAGGTGTAAAGTTTGGTTGCTTTTTGGCTTATGTGGCAGGTGAGATGGCGTCGATTCAGCATTCCGTTAGTCAATTTAACGCCGTCTGACACGCCGTTATAGTTTCAGACGGAAGTGGATAGATTTGTCACACAACCTTCCGATTTTTGGATATTTCGTGTATTTCGATAGTTGTGGATATATTTGTCACAAACCTGATAGTTGTGGATATACAACTGTATTTTGCCAAAATTCTACAACACCCAACATGTTGGCAAAAAGACATCACGCCGTTAGAAATCGAACAAAAAAAAAACTAGAGTTATAGAATCTGTCTGAGTTACAAACTAAATCGCTCTCTTTAAGACGTTGGTCGCATTGCTTCCGTATCGGGTTCGGAATAAAACTGAATAGGATAGAATGAGAAAGCCAACAAGGTGATCTTCACTGAATGTAGGGTCGACTTTGTGGATTTCTTATTCAGACTCCTTTCATTTCCCATCAGCCGGATCATCGAAATCGTCTAGAATGAATCCATGGTGGGATCCCTGGGCAACATTTATCAGAGCATGGGAGATCTGAAGCAGCCATCTTGTTTCAGCTCCACAAACTGGCCTCTGTTGTTGCCACCGCTTTCCCCTGCTGCTGCTGCTTCCTCCGTGGGCAGATCGCACCGTAGATTGTCGTCGGAAGGCAGCCTTGTGAAGGAACAGAACACTTTCATGGTGATGGATGATCTGAAGGCGAGCCCATTGTCGTTCGCGGTCTCTGCTATCACTATGCTCAACAAGCTTGGTTGCAGGGATCTTGGCGCACTGGAAGAGAAAGAGGTTGAGTTTGGAAATCGTGAGGTAATTAAGAATTAGTTAATACTATTTGGCTACAACTTGTTTAAGTTTGGAACTTTGAACATTGTTGGATTTGATCGCAGGCGCTGGAGTTGTTGGTGGCAGCTCTGCTGTCGAAACGAGTTCTAACTGTTGGACCAGAAGTCAGCTCGGCTCATGACCGTGACACAGAAGCCCACGACCGAGATGCAACAACCCATGGCCTGTATGGTTTCCGTGTTTTCCAAGGACACAAATAATAAGCTAACCCTAGATGCATGTCGAAAGGGTATATATAGTTCCTGTACTCGGCTTATGCCGTTAACAATTCAAGAGGAATAAAATCAGTAGCTGGAGGATTCAACCCTCCCGTGGATTAGTCCCGAACACTTCGGGAATACCACGTAAAAATCGCTTGTCTCGATAGTTTTCGTTTGGAAGTTTCTCTCGATTTATCATGGTATCAGAGCAGTAGCATCCTACTAGCCTCTCGCAACAATGACGGACGGCAAGACTACTGTTGATGATTCCAGCAGTGGTACCAAACCTGAAGACGGCGGCAACAGTCTCCCGCCGCTTCTTCTTCTTCACAATTTTGATGGACCAGGACAGCTCTTGGTCGGTGATATTTTGACGTCCACCAATTATGGAGAGTGGGCTCTCGACATGAAGGATTCTCTTATCGCTAAGAATAAGTTTGCTTTCGTTGATGGGTCGTTGGCCAAGCCTGCCGCGGGAGAGATGCAGAGCGCTTGGATCCGTTGCAACGCCATGGTCAAAGGATGGCTCAAGACTGCTATGAACAAGGAGATTCGTAGTAGCATCAGGTTTGCGAGACATATCGTGAGATTTGGGATGATCTTCGCAATCGTTTCGGGCAAGGCAATGCGTCTCGCGCATATGAGCTGCGTCGTATGATTAGCTTGCTTCAACAAGAAAAAAATTTTGTTTCAGCCTTTTACACAAAGCTGCGTTCATATTGGGAGGAATCTACGGCAATATCGCCAACCCCCAGCTGCACGTGTGGCCACTGCACTTGTGGTGTCTCGTTTCGTATTCGTGAACAACAAGAAAGTTCACGTCTCTTTGATTTTCTGATGGGGTTGGATGATGCGTTCTCAGGAGTTCGGACTCAACTTCTTGCCATGAAGCCCACGCCGAGTTTGGCTGAGGCGTTTAACATCACCATCAATGATGAACAGCAGCGGCTGATCACACAGAACCGCAAACCTTCTGCTGAAGCGGCCGCCTTTTCTGTCCGCAACGAGGGCGATCGCGCTACTACGCCCAGTGGCAAGGAAAAACCTCGCTGCAGCTACTGTCAAAGGTCGGGCCACCTCTGTGAACAATGTTACCAGCTGCATGGATATCCCCCGCGCGAAGACCGTGAAGGATGTGATGGGCGTAATGGACGTGATTCTCATTCCAACCTCGACGCTCGTGATCCTCGAGAAAGGCCGACTGAGCAACAATGGCGTCGACAGCAGGGTCGTTCTGCTGGAGAAGGCTCGGCGCGCGGTCGCGATCGGGAGCCGCGAGCCGCTCAAGTCGAGCACGACAAGGACGAGCGTAGCCCGGTTGCTGGTTTTATGTTGGCGCAGTTGGAGAAACTCAAACAATTTTTTGGGTATCAAGCTAAGGGTGCTGAAGACCCTTCGGCCCACGTAGTAGGTATGTTTTCTTTAAGAACTGAATGGTTGCTAGACTCTGGCTGCAATGAACACATTATCATGCATGATGATTTGTTGACCAACAAGATGAAGCCCGTGAACGGGCAGCCAGTGTGCATTCCTAATGGTGACTGTATACCTGTTGCACACGTGGGAAGTGTTGTTTTGGGCCCCGATCTTACGCTGAATCGTGTTCTACACGTCCCTGAGTTCCGGTGCAACTTGATTTCGGTCAGTCGATTTGCTAGAGAAAACCGTATGGCCTTAATATTACTTGATGATTTTTGCGTCATCCAGGACTTACAATCCAGGAAGTTGATTGGGAAGGGTGAGCTACGTGACGGGTTGTACTATTTGTGACTGTTTGGTGTTGAACAGGTTCAAGCTTGTGCGGCAAAGAAGCAGGCAAGGTACAGGATGAGATCTGGCATGCACGTCTTGGTCACCCCTCCCCGGCGAAATTGCAGCACCTCCGCAAGGAGCTTAGCATTTCTTTTGTTTCGAATAAAGCTTGTGATTCATGTTCTCGGGCCAAACAGACTCGTAGCCCTTTTCCCTCTAGCATGATTCGTACTAAGCAGTGTTTTGATTTAATCCATGTGGATATTTGGGGTGGTTATAAGACTGCCTCGCTCAGTGGTGCCCATTATTTTCTCACTATTTTGATGATTTCAGTCGCGCAGTATGGGTTTATTTGCTTCGTTTTAAGTCCGATGTCGGGCGCTACTTGATGCTCTTTGATCAGATGATTCGGCGAAAGTTCGGCAAACGACTTAAACAAATCCAGGCAGACAATGGTCATGAGTTTAACACCTTGGCTCTTCGAACTTACTACGACAGTGAGGGTATTCAGCTCCAAACTTCTTGTACTGACACACCTCAACAGAATGGTGTGGTCGAGAGAAAGCATAGGCACATTTTGGACACAACAAGGGCGCTCCATTTTCAAGCCAGTCTCCCGATTCGATTATGGGGTGAGTGTATTCTTATTGCAGTCTATCTAATCAACCGTTTATCCACTACCGCTACAGGTCGCACACCTTTTGAGGTCTTGTTCGAACGGCCAGCTGCTTACTCGCATCTCCGCGTTTTTGGGTGCCTTGCGTAGTCAAGGATACCCATGCTTCACTTGACAAGTTTGTTGAACGAGGGAAAGCTTGTGTCTTCATTGGGTACGCCTCCAGCCAGAAAGGGTATCGATTTTACGAGCTGGCCACACAGAAATCCTTCACTGCTCGTGATGTTCAATTTGTTGAAGATGATTTTCCTTTTCAATCTGCTACTTTCGGCCGCCTTCACTGGATCCTGCGGCCCATTTTCTCCACCACCGATCCTGACTCCGATGACGAGTTGCTTGCGGACCTCAGCTCGCCTGCGCCGGCCCAGGTCTCACCTCCTGTTGGGCTTGCTTCGAATGATGAGAGCGCCCCCGAAGTCACTCCCTGCTTCCCTTCGCACACGAGTTCTTCTGGGTCGTCCTCGCCTTCAACCGTGGCAGGCCCACCACCCACTGACACCACTTTGGGCCAGCCTGATCCGAGTCCCCCGCAGCAGCCCGTGCGCCGTGGTGATCGCGTGCGGACACGGCCCAAGCACATGGGTATCTACGACACCCATTATGCCCCACTCTATGCTGCTCCCTCACAAGAAATTCAACCCGAAAATTCTTTATCACAGGGAAGCACCTCTACTACTGTTACTCATCCTCTTTCTAATTTTGTTTCCTATGAAAATTTTACCCCTGCTTATCGTACCTTTCTTGCTGCAGTAACCAGTCACGATGAGCCACGTACTGTTCGGGAAGCAATGCTTGCTGAAATTCGTGCACTCCAGCAAAACGGCACTTGGAGTCTTGTCTCTCTGCCTCCTGGGAAGTGCACCATTGCCGCCAAATGGGTATTCAAGATCAAATATCGTCTCGATGGGTCTATAGAGCGCTACAAGGCTCGTCTGGTGGCCAAGGGTTACACTCAGATCGAAAGAATTGATTTCCACGACACCTTTGCTCCTGTGGCCAAACTGGTCACTGTTCGATGTCTTCTTGGGATCGCTATTAGCCGGGTTTGCCACCTTCACCAACTCGACGTCAACAACGCGTTCCTTCATGGGGACCTCGATGAGGAAGTCTATATGAAACTTCCTCCCGGTTTTGCGGCCCCTGGTGACACCCGGGTTTGTCGCCTCCACAAATCTCTCTATGGCCTGCGTCAGGCCTCTCGTAATTGGTACTAGAAGTTCACTACAGCACTTTGCAGTCTTGGTTTTCGTTCCTCGCCAGCCGACCACTCGTTGTTTATTTTTCGGTGGGGGAGTACCTTTGTGGTTGCTCTCATTTACGTCGATGATGTCCTTTTGAATGGGAATGATCTGGTCAAGCGTTTTCAGGATGAGAAGTTCAACATCAAAGATTTGGGGGATCTTCGTTATTTTCTTGGGATGGAGGTGGCACGCACTCGCGATGGGGTTGTTCTCTGCCAGCGTAAGTATGCGTTGGACATTCTCGAAGATGCTGGTATGGAAGGTGCTCATCCTAGCGGGTTCTCGGTCGAGCAAAATCATCACCTGTCTCGCCCCGACCTGATGACGCTCCACTTGCCGATCCCTCAGTGTATAGGCGACTTGTGGGTCGTCTCCTCTACTTGACGGTCATCCTTCCGGATATCACATATGGGGGTTAACATTTTGAGCCAGTTTGTCAATGCTCCCCGCCACTGTCACATGGATGCGGCCTTGCGCATCCTCCGGTATCTTAAGACCTCGCCAGGGCAAGGGATTTTCTTCCCTTTGCATAATGATCTCACTCTAACGGCCTATTGTGATGCAGATTGGGGTGGGTGTGCGGTACTCGTAGGTCCACGACTGGATACTTCATCACTCTAGGCGGTGCTCCTGTCTCCTGTCGGACCAAGAAACAAAAGGTGGTGGCACGGTCGTCTGCCGAGGCGGAATATAGAGCTATGGCCAGTACGGTTAGTGAAATTCTCTGACTTCGCTGGTTACTTGCTGAGCTTGGTGTCCCACAACAGCGAGCCACTCCCCTATACTGTGATAATCAGGCGGCTCTGCATATCTCTGCCAATCCAGTATTCCATGAGCGCACCAAACACGTCGAAATGGATTGCTACTTTGTCCGCGAAAGAGTGCAGTCGGGCGCCATTCTTCCTCTCAAGGTCAGCACTCATCTGCAACTTGTCGATATCCTCACGAAAGGCTTGGGAACTGATCGCTTCCGCTTCCTTCTTTCCAAGCTGAACGTTCGTGACCTTCACGCTCCAGCTTGTGGGGGAGTGTTGGACCAGAAGTCAGCTCGGCCTATGACCGAGACACAGAAGCCCACGGCCGAGATGCAGCAACCCATGGCCTGTATGGTTTCCGTGTTTTCCAAGGACACAAATAATAAGCTAACCCTAGATGCATGTCGAAAGGGTATATATAGTTCCTGTACTCGGCTTATGCCGTTAACAATTCAAGATGAATAAAATCAGTAGCTGGAGGATTCAACCCTCCCGTGAATTAGTCCCGAACACTTCGAGGATACCACGTTAAAATCGCTTGTCTCGATAGTTTTCGTTTGGAAGTTTCTCTCGATTAATCACTGACGAATGTGTACCTCGTGAAGGAGTGGGGGGGGGGGGGGAGGGGGTTCTTCACGCCATTGCAGCTCGTGCCAATAGCCAATCCAAATAAGATGCAAATTAGGGGTGGGCATACGGTTCGGTAAAACCGAACCTAACCGAACCGAACCGAATTCAAACCGAACCGAAACCGAATAACATTAATTCGGTTCGGAATTCGGAAGAGAAAAGGGTATATTTCGGAAACCAAGGTCCTTTCGACCGAACCGAATTTCCGAATTCCGAACCGAATTTCCGAATTACTATAATTGCAAGTTCCAAATGGTGGATTTTTATGTTTGTACTTATTATGAGACTTAAATATTTGAAGTATGTTAGTGTTTTATGACTTATGTGTTGAAATGTTTGATTTTATCATTGATGATGTATTTAATTGCATATTTATTGTTTACATTAGGGGTGAAAAATAATTTAAAAGAGAAAAAATACAAGCTAACCTCACAAGTTCGGTTTTTCATACAAAACCGAACCGAACCGAATTATAATTCGGTATGAACCGACCGAACCGAATTATAATTCGGTTCGAATTCGGTTTGAGGTTTGATGGAACTCGGAAATCCGGTATACATTATTTCGGTTCGGTTTGAACCGAACCGACCGAATGCCCACCCCTAATGCAAATGTTCAAGGAGTTCCCTGTCAAGGTAAGGGTATATATGCTTGAAGTGACAGAGTAGGTCTATAGACTTTTGTTTTTGTCATTTTGATGGAATGGTTCGAATGGATTGTTTGTGTTAGGTTTCTGTGCTGTTGCTCTTTCTTCTATCTACTAGAGCTAGGAAACCGATAGTACTGCTATTTCCTCAAAAAGAAAGTAACAGGCAACTTGCTTAGCTTGTTGTAGCAGCCATATCTCTATATGGTTTAGAGTCCCTTCTTATTGTTGTTGTTGGAAGAACTGGTTGGAGTAGGCATAGAATGTGAAATCCTTCCTTTTGCATTTTATAAAGGGGGAAAGAAATTAAACAAATTACTATCTGATATGTACTTAATTGTGACGATGCGCATTCCCAATCATAATGACTTGTTTTGTGACCATTAACTAAATTTTGATGGCAAGAACACGGAATTTAAACCATATTTCGCTCTTAATAATAGGGTGGAACAGTATGCTGCTGATGCATTACTACATAAAGACTGAAAACACATATAAAGCTTAAATTATTTGGCCTTCAGGAACACATTAGTGAGTGTTGCCTCAGAATGCAGGGAAGCCTTCAACAACTCCAGAGCCTGAAAACAAACACATTAGAGAGACAAAACCAATCCCCATATAAGAAATCATGACTTAATTTAATCCATGCCACAAAATACACTACACCAGAGCAAAAAAAAAAAAGAAAAAGAAAATGTATGTACCTCAGCAGAACCAAACTCGACAACCTTAAACTCCAAGTTACTGTGATCGCGGGCGCACTTGAGGAAAACTTCTACAACAGAATCAACATCCAACGGTGACACGCACAAGTCGTCGGTGACCAAGTCCTTCACATAGCTCGCCTCCCTGGTTCGAAGCGAGAAATCCTCCAACGACGCTTCGTGTTCCGTTTTACGATAACACTGAGGGCACATTGGACCCGATCACGTCCGACACCCAAACATGGATTTTCGATGGATCGTGACAAGAGTACACTTTCCTACCCCGAGCCGACTCATTTGCCGGGGTCAAGCGGGGCAGAATGGGGACATGGGTTAGCAAGTGAGGGAATGGAGTGGCGTCGCTGGAACTCGATTTAATCACGCTCAGGACTACCGGCGGCGCCTGTTGTTGATCGATATATCGGCGTTGGTTGAGGTTGACAAAGCTCTTGTTGAGGTTGCCGAGGATGCCCGGAGGGGTTTGGGACAGGTAGGCTGCAACGGCACTCAGGGGAAGGGAGAGAGCGCAGAAGAGGACCTTGTTCCGCTTCTTGTCCACCGCCCCCTTCAAACTTATCTTCGCTTTCGAAGCTGCTGATGCCATGGTTGATGATCGATGGATGGTGCAGTTTTTAACTAATTTCTACGTGTTGAATGTGAAAAAGGGACGTAGCTAGAAACGATCGTGTGTGTGTATATATATAGGTGGATCGATCGACCGATACCGCTACCTGTCTAGATAAAAACCGTCCGGATTCCATTCCCTAGGGAATAATCGACGCAGAGAAGACGAAGAAAATCCCAACGGAAGTAATAATAAACATTAACAGGAGTGACGTACGTACGTATAACATAGAAAAAGTAAGATGAACGTTGGGATCCTGAGAGCCGCCTAAACGAGCTCAAGACTTGTTAGAAACCGATTTCTTTAGGGTTTTTATATTAATTATTATAATTATTATTAGGGCAATTATCAATAAGGTTAGTAGTCTTTTAGTCGAATTAGGTTTATCATTAGGGATTTTCAGTAGTTTCCTATAAATATGTACTTTGAGTCTACGTTATGATCAGTCAATAAAGAATTATCAAAGAATTCCCTAAACCCTAATCTCCCTATCTTCCCAATTCTCGATCTCAATCCCTCTAAAGGCCTAGGACGATTCTCTTCTGTTCTTCCCCAATTCTTTCCCAAATCCCTAATTCTATCTTCTCAATCCCTAAATTCCCAAATATCACCCAATTCAAATCCCGTTAGAAACTTTGTTTCTAACATCTGGTATCAGAGCCCCGTTCCGATCGGTGAGTTCTTCTCAACTCCATCAGGGACAGCTTAGAAACCGGAGAATCGACGATGGAAAAATCAGAGCAGCCATGGGCCCAGTTGCAAGAAGAGTTATGGCAAATCGCGAACTCCTGGAAGAGGGAGTCGGCGCGAGGCGCCGCGGCAGGGAAGGAGGGCGCGCGGCTGGCGGCGCTCGCTGACGCCGACCGAGGCGACGGCGCGGGACGCGGCTCGCGCGTCTGGGCGAGCGGGGCGGAAGGCGGCGGCGTGGACGGAAGGGCCGCGGCCGAGGGGCGCGCGACGGCGCGCGGAGCAGAGGACGG